TTTCACGTTGTCCATATTTTAAATCTATGAGTGGTGGGATTTGAATCAGGATTGCTCTTACATCATGCTAGTCGTTCTGAGGGATTCGGGATCCTCTCCAAGTAGGTGGTAATTAGAAATCGTCTAATTACTCTCATCCTTGCCATGTATAACAATTCAAAAGGCTTAAATGAAGCCACGTATGATTTCCACTATCAAAATACTGGTTTTGACAATAATGATTTTAAAGACAATAGCAGTTCAAGATAATATTTAGAGTCACGTGAGACTTCATCTAAGCCTTTGAAATTGATATAAAAGTTAAGGATTGAGATAATTGAAGACTCTCCACTTACCACCCAAGTAGAGAGGATCCCCATCCCATTTCGAGACATCAAAACTTAGAAGTTGTCATGTGGTCAATGCATAATAGTTTAGAAGGAACTCTATCAAGCTTCTTTCTGAAACAAGTGATATATTTGTTTTTGTTTTTTTCCCTTTTTTGTTTTTTCCCTTTTTAAATCATATATATCAAAACTTAGACATCATAACTTTTTTCCCCATATATAAATATGGGGAAACTTAATACAAATATCTACTCCCATAAGATTTTTTCCATCAACAAAATATATGATTCTTATAGCTATATTTCACAAGACTTGCCACCTCTTGTCAAATGCCCATAATGAATAAGAGTGAGAAGGTAACAAAACAATTACTTGGTTGATAAAAGGATAATCCTGATAGCTGTCTTATAACCTCCTATAAACGCTTAGCATCCATCAAACAACCCCTTATCCTCTCTCTCATAGTCAAATATGGATATAAAGGCAACCCTAACGTAGCCAACATATTTTGTACCTCATAATCATCCTTACAATAATGATCAGCAGTTCAGCACCCTATAATTTATTTGGCAGGAACTTTAATAAATGCTCTTGTTTGGTACATGTTAAAGCGCCAGTTTTCCCACTTCTGAAGTTCACACTCAGTAATTTCTGCTTACATTTTCCTCAATTGGTAGGCTCCTCTGTTGCTGGAAGAACGAAAATTGGGCATTATCACTGAATCAGGCCCCTTTGCTACTGCTTCACACATACAAGGAGCAGACATTAAGATCATGTAATTTCATCTGAAGCTGTAGGGAATACGACTTAAACAGTTCTCTTGGTTCTGTCTTTTCTCAGCGATTCTGCATATGAAACACTCTGTGCTTTTACTCGAATAGTACATGGTCGTACAGAAATACCGAACCGCGAATTTCACCACCATGATGTGATATAAGCTGGTATGTGCACCGATAACCGTGCATTTCTATAACAGTAGGCTGCATAGAGAAGATATTTGAACAGCGACTACCCTGCTTACAGGAAATTTCTCTGCACATTTCCTGAAGAGAACCGCGAAGACAAACCTTCAGTCATTCCCTTAGAATCTAAATTGACTGGCTTTCTGCCTGCAGTCAGATCGTTTTCTCGATCCCAAGGTTTCCAAGGGTGTTGACCCACCGCTGGTTGCTTGGATTTCTTCTTAACACGTCTTGAGCTCTTTTCTTCTTGGTGTTTTTGCACCAGAGTTTTTGAACGTTTTGCAGAGTTGTATTTGTCGACTAGATCAGCATCTGCACTCTTTTTTGTATCATCTGCTTCTGCAAGAGCTTTTGTTCTGTCGTAGGCCTCCAAATAACTGCAGTACAAATGATATAATTATTACCCTTTTCAGGTAAGGTAAAAGGTAAAGAAGGGTATACTACACTGTTTACTACACTTGCAAATGCTGTTTATGAGAATTTACAATAGTTCAGAGGAGTTAAATATAACTATGAATGTTCACAGGGTTCTTTATAATTTATAAAGTTCAGGGGTTGTGCAAAACACCAGAGTTCAGGGATTTCTTGTGAAATTTACCCAAAAGATAAATAACAGAAAAAGGTGGAAGAAGATAAAATTTCAATTACTTGACATGCCTAAATCATAATTACAAAATGGAGCCAATAGGCCTGCAGTAAAAAGGATCATAGCAAGAGAATGATCTAAGCCTAACATTCGGATAAAAATTCTTCTAAATCGCCTAAAATTATCAACAGCATGAAGCAAATCTTCTTCAGATGGTAATTGCCTGACAATTCAAGTATAATAGACCTAAGATGTTTTCCATTTAAATCATTACGAAATTTGTTCGTAATTCCAGCACCAGACAGATGAATATTTCATAGATCTTACATTTTAAATTCACCTTTGTGTGGATGTTCTTTGGATCAAGGCCTAGATGTATTATCCATAATCATCTAACTGTAACTATAACATTAGACCATATAAACTTTGATTGAGCATCAAGGAAATAAAATCACATACTTTTGCTTTGCTTTTTCCACTCTATCAAGGGGACTGTCAGTCCATACGCTAGTATCTCCTCGTCCTTTCGCGGTTTTACTAAATGCTCTTGATTGCATGGTCACCCCCGGCTGATAATGAAGGAAGATGTTGTACTCAGTCTTCATGTGCATAAGTTGTAAAGACCATAAAAGGGGATTAGCAGTAGCCTTACTTTCCTTTCAGGTGGCAATGTCGTCATCCATTCATCTCTTTTTGGTGGCTCTTTTGTGAGGGCAAGAAGTTCCTCATCACCCTCCATGGATATGCCTGCATACAATTCAGCTTTGATTTATTTATATATACAACAAAAATTTTCTCCTCATTAAAAGGTGCAAGTATTATGAGTTTTGGACAAAGACAGCTTTTCACTTTTTCTGTGTATGCATGTTTATGTTTAAAAGCTATTTCCATGATGTACCCTTGAACACACTGCAACTCTACATGTAGAAAATTTCAAAAACACGAGATTTTTATAAATGTAATTCCGATTAAGCCCTTAATGTTTCATTAGAAATCTCTTCTCACTTGCATCCAACGTTACCTAGGTACTTCTATCGGGGATCTGTACCTGGGTACTATACCCGTACCCAACACGCACCCGTACCCGTACTAACTTCTTAGACACTTCTTGAATATATGCATACCTTTATTCATGTGTATACTCAATTGTATAACACATGTTTTAATTTAAAACACTCCTCGAACGCTTCTTAGACGTATATCGTACACATCTATTTCTTACACATTGATCTAATGTAAATGAAAAAAAAATGATTTTACGTAAATTATTAAGTTTAATACATATAAATACACATAAGATACATATATATAGTTGTGTCCTTGCACCCTACCTTTTACAATTTTTCCATGTTCCCGTACCCATACCCATGCAACTTAGCTTGCATCGCCATTAACTAAGTCTGGTTTTCAGCCATTTGGCCTCAATCTCAATCTCATGACCGGTTATAATATCTTAAGTTTTTTGTTGTCATGCAGTGTAGTATGTTTCATACATGATTATTGAACGTGTCTTGGCCATGATTTACATGATAATCCTCTAAATATCTAAATTCCTCTGATATAGTCATCAATGGCCTAAATTTTATTCATTCATACTTCTACAACCACTGGTAATCTTATCTACACAGGTGCCATTTATCTCCAAAAATTGTGAATTAATGCATATAACTTAGTACTGTGCAAGCTTTGATTTAGTATACTGTTTAGATATCTCAGATCGATTGATGAGGTGTTGGTTTCAACACTGAGAATTCAGTTGCAGGCTTCAAGCTAAAAGGTAATAGGTGGAATTACCAAAGTTCAGCGAGAATTATCAGTATAAAGCATAGAATATCCAACCTTGCAATCGTCTCCATTGTGCAGCTTCACGAAGTTCTTGCAGCTCAATCTACATCAAAATGAGAACTTAATATGACAAAATAAAACAGCAACTAAAGAAAACATCAGACATACTAAAGAATAGTTATACACAAACTAGACGGCACCAAAAATCACCTTAAGCAATCATCCACCACCAGTTAATGCAAATATATATTGTGTAACTAAATGGCAATTATGCAACTTAACATATTAGAAACATACTTGTAACTTATGTCATAATAGAACCCGGATAGGACCCAAAGGCTTCCCCACAAGTTGCCCCAAGAAAACAACACTATAATATGATAGCAGCCACATACCTTAAACTTTTCTTGTTCTTCCTTAAGTTTAATCTTCTCGTCAATCGCTTCTCTCTGAAAAAAAAAGAGAGAAAGGAACAACAGAATTAAGAAAATGTGAAAATCAACACCATTACTTCTTGATAACACACAACTATACTAATTAAAACTGGATGAGACCTACACAAAATAGCGACATACAGTCCTACACAATATAAAGACATTTTATGAGTGAACAGTGCAGGGGGGAAAAAGGGATATGAAACAAAAAGACATTTTCTAAGAATTCTTTATAGCAACTAGAAAGTCTCTTAATTGAAAATGTTAACGGAACTATGACTAAATTGCATTCAGGCTGTCAATTGATATCAATCCTTCACATCAGTAACAAATTAGCTAAAGAAATTACAGGCAAAAGAGGAGTTTGCCACAAAAACCAGAAGGCTGAAGATCTTGTAATTTAAGCTAAAGCAATAAAAAAGACATTTTACTATTTGAAAGGCATACCTTGGTTGAATCTTGCAGATCTTTAAAAGCTTGGTTTAACTTCACAAAAGCTTGCTGTGCTTGTGGGTGAGAGCATTTGTCCGGATGCACCAGAAGAGATAGCTTCCAATACCTAACAGGATGAAGCCATCAAGAACCACACTGACGAAATAAAACTGTCTCTACAATTCATGTATAGAAAATTATCTGTGTGCCTTCTTTCCAATCTATCCATATGGTTTAAAGCATGCATGAAGTCTGTTTCGAGCTTTCTTAAAATCATGCATGCAACTTTTTTAAGGTTTGAAGAAAAGACGACAGGTCAGCTTGCATTAGCTCTGACTTCTTCATGGTGTATTTCGAACTGTCTCAAACATCCTCAAATTCTAGATGTTAATACTGAGTGTATCTCGAATTAAGAGTTGATTAGAATTTAGTTTAGACTTTCCTCAACTGAAGAATAAGATGATTGTTCATTATAGAATTAGTAGAAGACATGAGAAATAAATTGTGTGGACTAGTTTAAATATTTAACAACTATAGAGAGTACACAACATACAAACAACAACACAATGACATGAGGATGTAATATTCACCAACCACCTGCTATTCAATGCATATGCTAAATGAGTGTTAACACTTGAATATGTTTTATTTGCTGAATATGTAAATTAAGAAATTCCATGTTTTTTCTTGTTTTCATAATAATTTAAAGGAAAATAAATTTTATCACCTTTTCTTGATGTTATCAGATGACATTTTCCAATTCACACCCAGTATATCATATGGTTTTTCAACCTCAGCATCAGCAATTCGAGCCACCTGACAAAAACAATGGTAGATGTGAATATTAAGTATCCAAAAACAAAAAACAAATAAGTTCTGGATCCATGACTATACAGCAATCAAGAATTCTGAATCCGTGGAGTACAATCTTTAGAATCCATAAGGGATTACCTCTAGAATCCACATAGTCTTGACATTTCTGTCAGTAACATAAGGACATTATATCCTAAACGTAAATAGCATGTAACAACCTAAAGGATGATGTGAAAAGTTACATATGGGATAAACAAATATAGGTCCTCTAGTATATAATATTTCTCATGGACTCAAAAACTAATTGTGAGAAATCATGAGAATTTTTTTAGTTAAGCATGCACAGGTGCCAGATATTCAAGACGGACAACCTCTTAGGAAGCTATATATTGTTCATTTGCAATTGGAAATATAGCAACTACAAAACAAGAGTAACACAATGTGACATTCCAGATGCAACAAAAATCAAAAGATATATGGAACTATGCAAGAAAATATTTATATACTTGAATGCTCATATAGTTTAAAAATAGATGACCACAAATTAACTAACACGTGAAGAAATGAATAAGCAATACAGCACGCTGCTTGAAATATGGGAAGGAGAAAGGGTCTTGATAGATATTCAGAAGAGAGATATATCCTTACAAGTGATACTTTCTAGAACCTACTACAATTAATGGAAGCAAGCTAGGATACCTCTCTATACTTCGTAACCTACTACGGTTTAATTAACAATGAGTATCAAGAAGAAAGTTTAAATTAAGTCTTGAAGAATAAACTGGGAAATGAAATTCAGTATAATAAAGAAACTTCCTTGAAGAAAATGCAGCTAGCATGATAGAAATGGAAAAGGTTCAGTACCTCCTCAAAACGCTCTGCTTCATTGGCTGATTCAGCTTCAGCAACCACCGCAGGTGGAGGAGGACCTATAAGCAATTCATCTTCCATGTCAGCTTCCCTGAAAATTTTTACAATTGAGAATACTTCAGAAGGAAGTATTTGCTCGACATTATTCAAACATATTTTCATGCAGCATATAGACAATGACAAAGCTGAATAAGTAAACTGATACTATAGGAAAAAATGGCTTAAGAAAAATTCTATGACTAAATACCTGAGCAAGTTCTCTGCATCAGTCAATTCAGCAGCTGCAGCTAATAACTCCCGAGATGGCATCTCCGGTCCAATTACCCTGAAGGGGAAATGTTTTTCAGCAAAGCATCTAATGAGTAATGACATCTCCAGAACTCTAAAGTTTAGATAAATCTTTAAGAATAAAACCAGAATCAGATAGCTATAGCTACTGATAGTCCCAACAATTTATTATATTCAAGAGATATAGGGTACAAAGTATAAGAAAGCAACATTTAGTCAAATAGAGATAAATACATAAGTATAGAGAAACCTAAAACTCTTAAGTAAATAGTGATTGCACGTTATCATAAATTACAATGTAAGTTAGCTTCTAAGCCATTGGGATATACTAACCACCACATAACACAGAATAACCAACATTTTTTTATTTTTTATGCATAAAGATTAATCACCTTTTAATCAAAATGTTGCTTATAGCATATTAATACTCCACAATGCCTACAGCGTGATAGCAGTAATTCAACAACTAAGTGAAAAATTCAGAAAATAACCCGAAATGAGATGATGGTCACCTTCTTCTAGGAGGAGTTGGAGACTCATTCTTAGGAAGTGATTCTGGCACTCTCGCAACATCAGCGTCAACTTCATTCTTCACGCTCTCTCTCTCAGATTTTGAGGATTGCTCTCTAATTGGTGAACTGGAATTGGGCAAATCCTCATCTCTTGCTTTCAGATGTGAGCATAATATTGGCCCAATAATGTCTAAGGTACAATGACCAAGTTCAGGCAGCAGAAAGACCCCACTTTCATTTCGCTTAAGCTTCAACAAAACGAAAAGCTTCTTCAGTTGTTTAACCAATGATTCATCAGGAATTCCACTCACATCAACACCTTGCCCGCTATCAATCATTTGGAGAATCTGCAAAAAAAGAGAGAATTTTAACCTACTACAACAAGTTACTGTACTAAAGAGAAACAGAGGAAAAAATATTACCTGTTCAAGATCGTTGGCGATGTTTGGGAACATATCAAGAATGGATTTTGCTAGGGTTTGGGCTTGATTACGATCAAGCTCGGTCTCAGACTCAGACTCGTCGTCATCGGGCCTGTGCTTTCTCCTCTTTCGCCTTTTCTCCTCGCTTCTTGAGCTTATTCTGTTGCTTTTCTTGCTGATGTCTCGATGCCTACTGCTCGACCTCTGTTTTCGCTTTCTCCTCCTCCGTCGATCGGAGCTCTCGCTCTCTGATGATGATGATGGCGATGACGAAGAGAAGGAGCTGCTGCTGGTATCCAAGCTCTTCTTCTTCCTCCTCTTGCTACTGCTGCTTCTACTGCTCTTTCCCATTTTCTTCAAATTAGGGTTAGGGTTAGCGGTGATCGGAGAAGTCGACGGAAATTAGGAATTAGGGCTGGTTTTGTTTTTAATCTTGGGGTATATAAAATCGGGTCGGGTGGGATTTTAGATATCGGGTTTTACCCGAACAGATTTAAAGCGCCCGCGTAGTTTTTATGCGGTCGGTTCGTAATAAAGCAACCGCATAATGAGCTTAAACTTCTCCGGGTTTTACCAAAACAAAACTGATTTGACGCGCCCGCATACTTTTTATGCGAGCCGTCCATTCTGACCACACATTTGGGGGCATATTTCCATATTGCCTCCCTGTTGTTCGCAACTGGTCGCGCCCATGCGATCTTTAATGTTTTCGAGCTAATCCCTCAAAATTCAAGCGTTTTGAATCAGTCCATCAAATCTTTTAATTGTAAGTCTTCATATTTTAAAATTAGTCCATTAAATAGTTCAAGTGTTGTGAATAAATCCCTCCGGTTGGCACTAGGTTGAAGACTAAAGATCCTATGGGTGTTCTAACCGTTAGGAAGAGGGGGGGTAGTGAAATACCAGCACTTCCCTCTTATTGTGCATCTGAACGGCTGGGAGAACCCCCTCAAAATCCATACAAATTGGCTTCAAGCTCTGTTGTCTGTTGTCGTCGCAAGGTCATAGCTTATCCTCGGAAATGGTCAATTTGATGTAACTTTGATCCCCATAAACTAGAAATATTCTCCTCCTCCCGTGGTTCGTTCGATGGTCCTGGTGACTCTCAGTCCATTGCATTAACGGTGCACTAAATGAATGAATGTCAACTTGTTTAGATCAGTGTACAAACCCCCAACTCGGCTAATCCAATGACAAATGCCGCTTTAGCTTAATGGTACGCGCATGCTTGGGAGATTGAGAGAGGGAAGCGTGTCGTGATCATAGGCGATCGACTCTCTGGACAGAAACCAGCTGTGGGAGTCGCTCGCGTGCCTGCTTTACTCATCTGGTCGGTCATCACGTGCCGTCGTGAAGGCAAGCCCCATTAGGATCTTTCGAGCCATGAGAACAAGCTTTGGTGCAAAGTGGTTATCTGATGTGTATAGTATCATAGCCATCTCATATCATTTGGTTAGTCGATAATTTCTAGGCATGGATTTCTCATAAGTCAGAAATTACATATATAATCTATGTAGATTTTGCAAACAGAGGAACTGTTCAAGCTCATTCATACCCACATATATAGCTGAAGCTACTTAAATTCATAAGGAAGAGCACAAATGTCTCCCATTAACAGTTCTGCGAGAGAGAAAAAAAAACATTACCTTGTTACAGCCACAGGGCCGATATTTCATATGAGAGGAGCTCATAAAGAAATTTAGTATAATGAATTTCATTAATTATGGCTAATTGTTTCCACAAATTCGCCTCATTAACAAACTGTCTGTTGTATTATGTCAACTCCATTTGTCAATATTTTGTTAGTTATTGAATTACTAAATCTTATAAGCTATTGTTGTTCCGTTTCATATTTGACACAGGATTATGGTTGCACTGTGGAATATTTCTGGAGACCATTTTTGGTCAGAATGAATGAAAAGAAAAATGGGTCGAAGATTATAAATCTTGAGAAGCTTTCAGGATCATCTCGACAATAGCAAGGAGCAAACATCATGGTTTTCAACACCGGCTATTGGTGGACTCACCATGGGAGGCAAAAACCGTAGGTTCAATTTGCAACTTAATATATTATTTTCGTGTATAAGGAGAGAATCCAACTGATATTGTTACTAAGAGTCGTAGGTTCAATTTGCAACTTAATATATTATTTTCATGTATAAGGAGAGAATTCAACTGATATTGTTGCTAAGAGTTTATGTGACGTGATGCATGTGGAGTTATGAGTGTAAGGGGATGGTGAAGGACATGAAAGCATATCCTGCATTCAGAATTGCGATGACTTCGTGGGCTCATTGTAGCGATCAGAAGGCTGATCCTATGAAGACTAGCGTCTTTTTTCTAGCATCTCACCAATGCGCGCATAAAAAATAAATAGGTGATTGTTTTTAAAATATAATGTAAACTGTTAATCATTTGACTAAATTAATCGTCTGACAATTTCTTGCATTTTGTTAAAATTTGCAAGCGAATCTGAACATAGGATCACAAATCTCATCCTAAAGCTGTTACTCCTAAGGATATATAGAAATAGATATGACATAAATGGGTAAAATATGTCATATGGGATTTGTTATATTTTTTTGATATAGAGAGTACCTCTTCCCTAATAGATTTTTTACTCTATCTTCTAATAGAAAGAGGACTTACTCTGCTGAGCAGGAGTTGACAGATTTTTCAGGGGCTTTTGCTTATAAACGCCAAGTTTCACTCCCGTTACCAAAAAACTCACCCAGTTCTATATGTTCCAATAATCCCAACATACAAAGTTTGCTTACCTTTAAACCCAAAAATGTGGAATACATAGTATATGCCTATACACAATAAGGTATATAGATATACATCTAAAGTATGTAGCTTCACACCCTATAGTATGTAGTTATACACCCTATTGCATGCAGACATACACTTCGTACTTTACATTTCGGGTTTACAGGTAAACAAACTTTGTACATTGGGTTTATTGGAACATATAGAACTGGATGGAGTAAATGGGAGTAAAACTTTGGGTTTGTAAGCTATAAGGAAAAAATCCCTTTTTTATTGAGAGAGGACTTTTCTGTCATATGAAACTTTTGATGACTCAGGTAGATCGTTTCACTCATACACAAAGGGATGGAGCCATATATACTATCATACGTCAATTAAGCACATTTCATCAGGTAATCTTATCTCTCGAAATTTTTCTGAAGACTAAAGCATCAAGTTAAACAAACTATATGAAATATTTGCAGGGTAAACTTACAATGGTGTTTCGACAAAACCCGACCAATAACCAACGAAACCTACCTACAATGGTTCCCAGACCCCATGGTTTCCATAGTACAGAAAACCATTCAAAAGATGAAAACACCAGTAAAGTACCTCAATATTATCAGGATGTCAGAATACCGACAAGATGCTCATACATCTATTTACACCTCAAGGAAGTTGAAGCTTCTAACTAATGAACAGCAGAATCAACCAGATGGGTATGCAAACTGTAGGCACTGTTGCCTTCCAGGTTTGCCTGATACATTAAATGCGTTGGCTTTATGCTTCTATCATTGGATCACCTTTGTGCCTTGTTTGGATGGAGGGTAGAGAGGGGGAGGGGAAGAGAAATGAGGCTTTCACCTTGTTTGGGAGTTTTTTTAAGGAGGGTAGAGAGGAGGAAGGAAGGGGAAAGGAGGGTAAAATTGCTTGGTTTTCTTTCCCCCCGATTTGGGCGGTAGAGGAGGGTAAAGGAGGGTAAAGGGGTGTAATGACATTCTTACCCCCATCAAAACAAATAAAAGTACTGATGTGTTATTAGTATAATGTCATTTATGTAAATTTACATATTTTTACTTTCTTTCACCTTCTTTCACTTTACTCAACTCCCAAACAACATATTACAATTCTCTTCCCTTCCCTTCCCTTCCCTTCCCGTTGTTTACCTTTCCTTCCCTTCCCTTAGTAAACTCCCAAACACACCATTGATGAACTTGTGATTCTCTTTATTTCAATGTTGAGTTTCTCATAGGGTTTTTCCGATATTGGTCCCTTAAATCTTACATTTTGAAATTAGTCCCTCAAATCATTGAAAATTTAGGTACCCCAATTCTTGAGCTATTTTGATTGTCCCAGCAATCAAGAGTAGAAGTGGCAATTAGGGGTACTATTTTGAAACAACTTGGGAGAATTGGGACACCTAATAGCATTCAATGATTTGAGGGATTTATTTCCAAGTATGAAAGATTTAAGGGACTAATATTGGAGAAAAAAAATTCTTGCTCATATTATAAGCAGATCAAACATGCTGGTGTCAGAAACCATATTGATGTTGACGGTATCTCCAAGAATTGAAGGCAATGGAAGTGTAGAACTAAACTGAAGAATATTGACGCAGTGGACAATCTGGCAAATATGATTATCAGGCCCCTTTGTTGTGTAAGTTCGTGCATTGTTTGGATTTGCACGTCTAGTGATGATGCTGAGATGCGAAGAATATTGACAACGTAAACGCATACTCGGTGAAATTTATATGTTCTTTTGACTCAAGAAACTCTAGGTGTTATGAGGGAACCGAGCATACTGACGTTAGAAACCATATTAATGTCGGAGTGTCTCAAAAATTTGAAGCTGATGAAAGTGAAGAATGTTGGTACAACAAACAATCCAGCAATTTGACGGTCAACTCCTTTCTCTTTGCAAGTTCAGGCATTGTTTAGATTTGCAGTCTTTCTAGTGAAGTTGAGATCTGAGGAGTATAGACGCCACAGAGCAAGACAATTTGAATAAACCAACCACACGGGGCTTTTCGAACTCCTTCGCAAAATAACTTGTTGGGCTATACCTGATCAATTTTTTGTTTGTTGATTATCTAAGTTATGCTGTATTTGAAAAATGTTTAGGGAGCTTTCATTGTACCATTCATGCATACTTCTCAATCTTTTGTTTTAGTGGAACTATCTACATGTTGTCATTCAAAGAAATCAACCTGTTTGTTCGTGAGTGGTTAATTTTTGTTCTGTCTCTATCTTATGTGTCTTGAATCAATCAACTTGTATTATATAAACAGCCTCTAGGTCCTGGATTATATTGTATTAGAAATTTTATTAACCATTTCTGGACATGTTTCCATTGTATATTATTGGTCACAGTGAGAAATATTTGGAAAGAGACTGTAAGGTTTTCGAGCCACTTGTTTTATGTCCCTCGTAATTTTTCTAACAGCCTGTTGTTGCAAGTTTGATTCTTTGATGACCAAGTATGTTTAATGTAATTAAGTCAGAGGGGAAAAAATGAAATAAATAAACAGTACAATAAATAATATTGTCAACCCCAAACCAAATTGATCTAAAAAAACCAAGAAAAAAGAGAGAATAAGAATGGTTGGTAGGTCACACCCTCATTCTCAACGAGAAAGAGTCTTTAGGTACAACTGCTATTCAAAACCTCATAAAATTAATTAGACTTTAATTTTAAAATGATAAAGATAGACAATGTCACAAGGTAACCATCATTGTTTAGGAAAAAGACAGCCCCAAAGAATAAAGTACAAAACTGTACATATTGAGATCACCTAACTCAAAAATACCCAAAAATGCATGGAGCTCTCCATCATCAAGAAGAGATGGTCTCTTTGTATATTGAGTGTATTCTTTGTCTCTTTTCTCTTCATTTTTCTCCATGATCAAGGTCAGAGTCTCATCACCATTATTCCATCTCTTGGTAACTCGGATATCGATAATTATAAGACTACGCAAAATAGCTCATGTCTAGTAGCGCAAGAGAAGAACTCGACTCTACAACTCAATACTACTAAAGAGACGGAAGTAAGTACACCAGCAGAGGACGAACTTGTACTGAAGTCAAATGGTACTAGAGAAGTGAAATCAGAGAAATTGATGTCAAATGGCACTATGGAAGTGAAATCAGAGAAATTGACGTCAAATGGTGCTATGGAAATAAAATCAGAGAAATCGAAGGAGGAAAAGTGCGATATATTTGATGGGATGTGGGTTTATGATCCAAAGAGTTATCCACTCTATCATGATCATCAATGTCCTTTTCTTAGTGAACAAGTGAGTTGCCAGAAAAATGGGAGGCCAGATTCAAGTTATGAGCACTGGAGGTGGAAACCAAGGGGGTGTGATATACCAAGGTATGCAAAATTTTTCCATTTATTGTTCCTAAAGTTTTCTCTGGTACTTGCACCTTCTGAACCTTAGATGACGTTATTTTCCTTATTTTCGAGGACAATCTAGTCTTGTTTAGTTAAATTGAGGTCCCTAGATGATATAATGTCATTTGCATTTCAGGAGGTGTTAAGTGCTAAAAAAATAGCTTAGGGATATTAATGGTTACATATTCATAGTGCAAGGGGGGCGCTCTGCAATTAACCGTTTTTATTTTGAACCTACTTTTGATATATTAAATGTGGATTTCCCCCCTGTTTGTCATGAATTGAAAGGTTTAATGGGACTTACATGTTGGAGAAATTGAGAGGGAAGAGAATGGTGATCATTGGTGACTCTATTAATAGAAATCAGTGGGAGTCACTTGTATGTATGCTCTACGCTTCAATTAAGCCATCTCGTGCCTTGGTCAACTTGCGCGGCTACTACAGAACCTTTCGAGCTCTGGTACATTTCACTTCTTCACGCATCTTTCTTAATCTTTGAGAAAGGAAAAAAAAAAAGAAATGTTTTTATTTCTACTAATTATATTTTTTTTTCTTCTCCTTTGTGGCTTGATTTATTGTATTGCATTACATGGAGGCATACCTTTAAACTTGTATATTTATTATTCTGATCTGATGTACTATTTTCATATCGCGAACAAATACATGGTATTTTGTGAGATCAAACTTTCTTTATCTAAATAATCAAGACAAGGGTGGTATCAAAAATTCTTAAATTAATCCTCGACTGTAACGGCTGTTTCTATCGACTGACTGACGTGCAATAAAAGAAAATTACTGTCAGCAGAAAATAGACAAGAGATAGTAGATTGTTGTGGTAAATGGAGATGAAGTACCAATCACATTCTCCATGCCATCTGTACTCTAGATGCCTCATTCCACCGTAAGAAACATATTTGATTAAGATTAAGTTAATTGATGATTGATTGCAACGCAAGGACTATGGTTTCTCGCTGGATTTCTCTTGGAGTCCATTCCTGATCAAAATGTACGAAACGAGAAACAGATCGAAGGTGTTGAAGCTCGATGAGCTTTCAGAGCCGAAGAGATGGAAAGGTGCCGATGTGATGGTGTTCAACACCGGCCACTGGTGGACTCATACTGGCAGGTTTAAAAGGTGGGTCAATTCTCATGCTTTCCTTCATGTAAAGATTGAAAGAGGGCATTCTGTAATCAATCCTGATGTTACTGTAGAGTTAAAAAGGGACTGAAGTTGAGTTATGCAGATGGGACTATTATCAGGATGGGGAAAAGATCGTGCAGGAGATGGAAGGCCACTCAGCATTTGAGACCGCACTGAGCACTTGGGCTCGTTGGATCGACCACACCGTGAGTCCGACCAAAACCAGTGTTTTCTTTCGCAGCATCTCCCCCGAACATAAAAGGTAGACATACAAAGCGCTTAGTTGCAAATACATTTCTCGTACTACAAAATAAGCGGCTCCCTAGTGTGGATTCGTTTGCGTAGTTATCTAAATTTCTCGCATGATTGCAGGTCGAATCTGCACCAGTGTTACAACCAGACTCAACCGATCACCAACGACAACGAGGCTTACAGGAAAACGTTTCCAGCAGCAATGGTGAACATAGTGGAACAAACTATAAAGAAGATGAGGGTTCCAGTTAATTACCTCAACGTCACTCGATTATCAGAGTATCGGCGTGATGCACATACATCTGTGTACACTGTGAGGCAAGGGAAGCTTCTAAACGAGGAGCAACGAAAGCAGCCTCAGTTGTTTGCTGATTGCAGCCACTGGTGTCTTCCAGGATTGCCAGATACCTGGAATGCTTTGATTCATGCTCTCCTTGTCGAACCTCCCTTATTTTCTCCGTAGTTTTAGTTTTTTTTTTTTTTTTTTTTTTGAATTGCAAAGCATTTTCCCACCCTCGCTCTCTCATTTTTTCGTCATACAATTCTTAACTTCCACTAAGCATTTTTCGTCATACAATTCATTTCATTACACCAAAAATTCGAATTTGTGATGAGAGTTGAAGATTACCACGTTATAGTCTAGCAACAGTATTTTTTGCAGTTGCATAAGCATACTACTACGCACCAAAAATCAAGTTGTTAACAGTTCCTGCCAAAAAAATGCCCGAACATAAATTGCTTGTACAAAGTCTAGTAGACCAAAAAAGTCCATTAATAAAGTGAAAACATGCGGCTGCAATTAATAGGACTCAAAGAGTGAAGGACATTTATTGCAATGAAGGGAAATAGGAGGCCAACCAAAGACAGTTGTAGAGATTACAAGAACAAAACGCTTAACAACAGTCGCATCCGCGCACCCGCCTGGATTTCCCTTTGCTTGAATGATTCCTGTGGGATAGCTAGATTTCAATTGCCTCAAATGGAAATATCATCACACGGCTTGTCTTGAGCCGACAGCTCAAGAGGGATTCACTGCCATGGTGACTCTTGTCCGCCGATCACTGCCTCTGTGCCAGGCTGATCAGACCGAACTGCTGAATCAAAGCCTCACAAACCTGACGATGCTGATTTATTGGCTTAAAGAGAGATTTAAAGAGAGATTTCAATGTTGGTTTAAAGAGAGATTTCAAGTCGTATTCAGTAACAAACGTTAAGCATACAAATACAGCTAGCCCCGTGCCCAGTCCAGAAAAACCGCAGAAATTAAAAAGGGAGGACCAACAGTATTTTCAGAAAATACTCGTGCAACATCACCCTACTTCATCTGCATTAGCATTAGACAAGCCATCTTTCAGTTTGCCCCATTTCGACAAATACAAAACTAAACAAATTTGAGAGGTTGGGAATTAATTTAACGGGCATGTCTTTTTGGAGCAAATGGATCAATCTGTATAATAGGCGGGCGAATTTTAGCAACAGAATATTTCTGGATAGACTGGAAAGTAATTGTTAGGGCACACTACTAATTACATAAGCCTAGGGGTTGAGAGAATAAAAATGCAAGTGAGGTAAGCAGCAGTGAGTCTCAGAAATATCGGGACACGTTTGTTTTTCTATCTTTGGACTAGGGGTAATTGTAACAGCCAGACTGTAATCCTAGGGTTTGAGTTATTCTGGGACTATTTTGTGCAGTCTAATATATGCTTACGCATGGTCTAACACCCGAACTAAGTTAAACTAATTCATACTACGGTTTGTTGTTAGGGGATTAATGAGCCTTCAGCCTAATGTTCTGACAAAAGTGACATCTTACCCTCACATATCAGCTGTATTAATGCATATGTTTGACAAGAACATCAAATTTTGAGCAAATGGCCGTCTGTAAAATCACATTCGCACACTCAAGTCAACAAATATCACTACTTACATATCAGTAATGAAAATTTACACTCCAACGATAGCCCAAACAAGGAGGTGCATTTTTAAACATTTTACTTGCATAGATAAGGATTGAAAGTCGAAACATTCTTATTCTTAACTAACAAAATCAAATGAGTGCATAAAAATTACTGACATTATACAATTCAGTGGTTTCCTCTTTGGCAAATTTGCAGCACGCAAGCGTGTAGGCCTAGGCGTTCAGGCTTTATAGGTCTCCCCATTACATTGAAGATGTGGGGAAAAACACAAAGCAGAAAATGAGAAGCCAAAAAAGAGCAGCAGAGAAAATTTTACGAAGAAAGAACAACAGAAAAATAAAAGATGGATAGAAAACAACCGCAAGATTTGGTAGACTTAAAAGAACACGGGCTTTTTAGTTAGAAAATTTTAATCCCCCAGGTGATCAGTAACTGCATTGTAAAGGTGGGGAGGCTGGGTTGCTTTAGTCCCCCTTTTATGTGTTAAGTAGTCCATTCCTCGTAAATAGTCCCATCAGGATAAAAAAACAAACATCGGATAAAATGCAGATCCAGAATGTTTTAGAATAGTACCCTCACTATAAAAAAATAACGCAAAGATCCATATGAATTCACAAGTAATATGCATTCACCAGTAAAGAAAGTTGAACATCTCAAAGATCTAATTTGATTTTGATACATTTTTCTGGTATATTAATACATTTTGACATAATAAAAATATCAAAAGACAAGTCCTGAAAACAGAACAATAAAAACACTCATTTACTTGTCACCAAGAAAATATGAATTTGGTTTACAGTTCCATCACAACATATATGACTATAAGATTGTTCCTACAGGAAAGATAAAACAAACTCTGACATACTTGCAGAAATCTTCTGACAATAATAACTGCAGAACACTTAAAAAGTTCATTGCTATTTATATATGAAATGTGATATAGAAGGAGTTTGGGGGAGCAAATTTTGTGGTCAAACTAGTTTTTAAGTTATTTTTTCTATATTTACTTGTTTGGTAAAATATCATATAAGTTAGCTTATAAATCTCATTTTAAAAAGCTGGTGTACCATAAAAGTTAGCTTAGAAGTCCTATTTTAAAAAGTTGGTGTACCCCAGCCTTTCAGAAACCAACTTATAAGCTCAATTTAATAAGCTAGGTCTGACCAAACAAATTACTATTCTACCAAAAAAAGTTTTATACTATTATTAGGATAAAAACCAAAAGCCACCAACAGCTAAGATAGCTTAAAAGCTTATAAAAATAAGCCCTGCAAAACATCCCCATAGGTATGAGACATGACCCAACCCGCTTAATCTAATAATGGCGAATAGGTTTGATTTCGCATAACCAAGATAAACCCTTTCACTAGTGCATGCCTACACATTTTTGGCAATTACTTAAGCCAGCAAAATCATTGATACAGCAAATAAAATCAAAGCACCCATAGAAAATGAATGGCAAATTACGAAAATTACTACTCCAGGAGCCTAGTCTCTGGGTCTGGAGAGGTTTCGTAGTTTCACTGCCCCACATACGGCACCATGAACCGCGCACCATGCAGGGTTCAGATAAAATTCTACTCCAGGAGCACACATAGCAACTGTAAATGCTAAAATCAGCTAGGAATACAATGTAGTTTTTTTCCCAAATAAAGCATCTCTTCCCTCTGCAGGTACATAGCTCAAATATTCTAAGATGAAAAAACTATTTCTTTGGAAAGGGCAAGCAATAAATATGTTAACCAAATACTCGTACATCTTGAATCAATATTTTAAACAAATAACCTGAAAATTCAACTACAATATCAAATATACTTCTGAATGATGCATGCAAACACACCTACCGAGAGCAACATCATTTGGCTACATTATTAGCAGATAGACAAAGAAAGAAGAAGCATAAGCAACAATAGTGCACATCATTACTGCACCAACAGCATCCTAATACAGCATCTGCTCACATGAGATTTTGCCAACCATAGAACGCAGGGCATGAATCTTTTTTACTTCTGATGATACTAGAAACCTAACAAGATTTAGTTTTAAAGTGGCATAAGGTACCTTGAGACCTCATGTGCAATGAGATGTTCTTCAAACAAATTAGGATGCCAATCAGGAAAGTAATATTTGCAATTGCTAACCCAGAGCATATTAAAGCAAGTAACCTATAACTTCCGTCAGGAATACAAAGTTTCCAGGTGAACATTATCCTAAAGAGAGATAAGGACTAATAAATTGCAAGCATGAAGCATTCCAAGCCAAAGAAAAGAAAAAGAGAAATTACAAGATCAAACATTATTAATTTAACCACCATGATAGCAAACCTCCGCTAAAATTTATATATCATACGCATAGCATGTAAAGTAAACCATACATAATATTTGTAGATAGCGACTAAAAAAATATATAACAAAAGTAGTCATCATCAACCAGTAGCAGACAAACAGAACTCGGGATATTTAAATCCAAAAGCAAGGGAGATCAAAGGTAATACTCAGGAAAGAACGAAAGACAAAAGCTACGGCCCCATCATTATGTTGTTTCTCAGTTAAGAATTCCTAGTGTACTACCAGACTAGTAAGTACTAATAACACCCAACAACTAGCAATCAGAGAGCAGGCCATATTACAGAGCAGATATGCAGAAGCACCAACAAAGTTTGCAAACCATTCATCAAAGCAGATTATATGTCTCGCATTCAGCACAACCAGTTAAAGCATTGCTCCCGAAAGTTGTCCTACACCTGAATATCACCCATCATAAGCTCAAGCCATCATTCAACTATAACAAACAGTCAACCACAACAACTAATTAATCCACTCAACTGAAAAAAAAATTCATCAGTTAATAAAAACATAATGAGAAAACAACAAAGAGAAACATGCAAAATGATAAAATAATTCAACCATTTCATACCGGCAACTGCTGAAACTGCAATAAGAATAGAGAATATCAGTAAGGAAAGCATTAAAAAATCTAAAATTGCCAATACAGCTGTATAGGATTCTAACTAAACAAATAGCAATACAGTAGCCAATATGTTGCAGGAGATTAACAAGTCAAATTAAGAAAGCCATCTTAGAATAATATAACGGAATGTGTACTTCATTGCAAAACAAATTACAAGCTCTAATGGTGCTCAAAGCAAAGCATACAGCAAAATTACATCTTGGGCATCTATAATAAGTTAATAACCCCAAAACCATCCATTAGTATTTACAACCAAGTGGCTATGGACAACCATACTAGACATTTTCCTGGTTAAGAAACTAGCTTAAAATATCTTCTAGGATTCCATAAACAAGCTATTGCAACTCAAAACAAAAGGTCATATTCAGCACATAAACTACATTACTATGCTTCATTCCCCTTAAAAGTCACCAATTTGCTACTGACACTTGCCTAGAGGCCAAATAAGGTTTCTTGTAGAGATACAATGACTGTGATAGGAAACTTTAGACAGAACTATGACAACCAACTCAACATGTCACAAGCCTATAACCAATAGACCACAGTATACAGCTTACATACAATAAGCAACTGTAGACTTAAAGTTTACAAGTGTACATTCACTAGCAAAAATACCAATTAACAATTTCCTTGTCCCTGCATAAAAAACCTTTAGAAGACGTAATGCTTATTTACAATTTCCATTGCTTAAAGACATGTTCAATCTACTCATGAATGTCCTAAAAATCTACTAAAGAAGATAGAAACTACCTGAGATCAACAGAATGGAAGAAACGTGCACAGTTGAGAAAGAATAATGTAAATTGCAAATTCAAATCAATAGGTCCTAAAAATTAGCAAATGCTTTCTATACTGAAATTATACATACCACTTAAAGATTTGAATTTTTTTAGTACAATCAAAATTAGTAGACTATGTATTAAACATAGATAAGTTTAAGCATTGATCAAAGCCAACATGATGTTGAATATTTAATGGTTATAAGAAGAGAGGCTAGGTTAGGACTGAGGTTATTACTGCAATAATCTCACATTGCAAGGCGCAAAAGTGGCACACAGCACCAACTGCAAAAGGTGCAGGACAAGATAATCACTTGGCTGAGTACAGTTATTCCCAAAATGAAAGTGTGGTGGACCTGTAACTACACGTGTGTACACACGTAAGCGCACACTCGCACACAAATAAGAGTAGCAGAAAAAGTATCTTGAAGAATAAATGACAGTATTGAATCAAATCAAAGTCTCAGTTAAACCCAACTGTTCGTTTTGAAGGTGAATAAAGCTAAACTGAAAAGGTCCTAAGTAACTATCCAAGTTGTTTTAATATGCACACAAATACCTAGTCATGTATTAGAATAGTTTGGTGTAAATTCATTGTTTTAATTTTTAAATATCCCCGACATGGCCCGATATATCCCCCAATATATCCTTTTACATGGCTTGCCACAACCGATATGGTCTTTAAATATCCTTTACCGCTTTTTGGCTATTTTGAGTGATAAATCCCCAATATGGCCGATATATTAGCCGATATGTGGACCAATATATCTTTTTATATAGCTTGTTGCAAAATAATATACCGTGTTTGGAATTTTTGGGCGAGATATCAAGATTTCCCCATTATATCAAATGATATTTTGCCCTAAAAAAAGCAGATCGAATGTTGCAACGCTGCTTTGCACTTTTGTTTGTTTTAGAAGGTTGATTAGTGATACTAAACACATATTATTCATATTTTGTATGCTTAAATTTTATTACATATGTTGAGATTATATTTTAATGCATTATACTATGTATGCAAACATTCATTATGGCATTCCGATATTTACCACATATCCCCGATATTTCCCCGATATCCGCAATCCGATATGAATTTTGGCCATCCGATATTTCCCCGATATCCGATATTTAAAACCTTAGGTGTAATATAGACATATATCAACTTACATATATCATATGCGTGAAAAAAGATAACACTTCATGACGATGTAAGGAGGACTTCACACACCTCAGAAACGTATTGAGGGAAATTCAAGTTGGTTATCCAAAACATTCATTGCAAAGCAGAAATTCTACAAGTCACATTGACCAAAAATCAAGTGGTTTAAAAAGTTCCATACTATGAATCAAGCAAACCATATATTTTTGAGGTTTATTGCAATTCAATTTGACATTAATCAACGCACAATTAACAATCAATTTCTAACAAATGGATTCACAATTTCTAACACGCAAATAACGTCACAAGCATAAAAATGATACACGAAAATAGGCATATGCAAATCATCCTCAAGAGAAAAGGCATGGGCCTTAAGAAGATGAACATCACCCAAAAAGCATTGCATCAAAGTTACCATCTAACTCCCAGCATACTACACAAACAATCATGGTCATGGTCATGGTCATGCCTAGAAGAAACATAATCAGAACCTAATACTAATTGCAAACCAAACATAAGCACTAAATCATAAGCAATGCTAGCAAAAACAGAAAACCTACGAATACTCTACATCAACAAACAAAATTAAGTATCTACGAAGAAAGATACATTACCTCAATAATAAGGTGGCAGGCCTTGATACATCCCACCACCAGACGGAATTCTAGGTCCCGGTGGTGAGCCTGCAGATTGAAGATGCTGACCAGAATGCCCCAAGGACGAATAAGGCCCACCCTCTGAAAACGCACCAGACCCCATCCCACCCGAACTAGCTGGCAGCCTATTGTTATAGAGCGAAGACCCCATCCCAAAACCACCATAACCACCTGAACCAGAACCTCCTGAAAACTGCGATGAAGACCCATAAGGACCTCCAAAACCTCCACCACTTCCAAAACTACCAAGTCCAGCCCCCCCACTATGCGACGAAGGAACTTGCCCTGTTGATCCTGAACCGATCGAAGATTGCAATGGTGAGTTTATACCGTGACTCCCCAAACCACCGGCCCCCGAGAACCCACTGAGCGCACTAGAAGGGTAGAACCTGCCATACGAGGACAACCGGCGCTTCCGGCCCACCATACTTGGGGGCCGCCAAGGAGACCCCAGGGCAAAGCTAGGCGCTGTGACCGCCAACCCAGCGCTAAAACATTCCATCCACAGGCTTATTCTCTGCAACAGTCGCAGGTTTATTATCACCCATCCCCGGCTTCTTCTTTCCTTCATTCGCATACTTAACTTCCATCAACTGCCCATCAACTATCCTCCTGGGCTCAGCAACCGCAGCTCGAGCACCCTCCACAGTCTTATACACAAAAAGTGCATACCCTCTAAACTTCCCCGTGTGCTTATCAAACCCCAACGGCCCCTCCTCAATCTCCCCAAAGCTCGAGAACACCGACAGCAATCGATCTGACGGCATATCATACGGCACATTCCCAACAAACACCTTCCTCTGCGAGACATCCACGGTCGCCGCCGGCACCGCCACAGCCCCCGCAGCAGGTCCCGCTCCAGCGTTCCCCGCAGCAGCGAGATTAGTCACAGTAACCCGACCATCAATCTTCTTGCTAGGCTCCTTTAGTGCAAGAATCGCCGCGTCAGCGTGAACGTAAGTGACAAAGCCGTAACCTTTCGACTTGCCCGTGATCTTATCGCAGATGACGATGGCTTCCTTGATCTCTCCGTAGGGGGAGAAGACGGAGCGGAGGAGGCTGGTGTGTCTCCCAGCCGAGGCGCGACGAAAGAGCTTCACGGTCAGCGGGTCTTTGTCCGGCGCGGATCGGACGTGCAGGGATTAGGTGAGTGATCGAGGAGCCGTAGGCGAATGGATGGAGTGCTCGAGGGGGATCGAGGAGATGAGCTTCTGGGCGTCGTCGAAGGTGAAGGATGGGTGGAGGGAGGCGGCGTTGCCGTTCTCGTCGGCTTTCCGTTTCTTGGAGGAGAGATCCATGGCGATGGAGGGGAGGGGAAACCCTAACCCTAACCCTAGGTGAGAGATTTGGGGACGGCGGTCAAAAAAACGAGAAGATGTTGGGGGTTTGGGGCCTTTCGCCGTGTAGGGGGGTTTTAACACTTTTTTGAAAACGGGCTAAGTCCGGTAAGGCCCAGTTCTATTGCTCCCCAAAATCTTTGCTATTTTTAAATCAGTCTCTTACATTATTAAAATTACTTTTGGGCCTGTTTGGTTAGTTTCTTATTTTAGGGAAAAAATTAAGGGAAACCATCAAAAACAGTATCCTCCCAATTCCTCAATAAAAACTCATGAGCGGTTTCCTAAATTCAGGGTCAAAGCATTCAATAAAAAGGTGATGCCTAATTGATATGATAGATGAATCATAGAAATCAAGCTTGAATAATTGATATGATTCCAGGGACGGCTATTTGGTTGCCAAAAAAAATGTTATAACAAATTTATTTTCTATAATATTTTCTTTTTCGTCGTTTGATTCTCTTTGAAACTAAATAATAAATTCTTTAAAAAAGCAGATTATTGAACCAAATTATATAAGTTACTAAAAGTAATAGTTTGGTAACGAAAATATTAAAAAAAAAAACTACTAAAAAATAGCTAAGGTCCTTAGTAGAACTATGTTTAATGTCCCTCCGTTTACATTGCCTAAACACAAATTCATTCGTTTACTGTTTTAAACCCTATACCCTTAGGAATATTTAACTTGTTTATTTAACTTTTGAAGAATTTTTCAAAACAGACTCACTTCAACTTTTTTTTCTTAAAACCGACCCGTTTTTTTTTATTTATCAAAACCGACCCGATTTTGTAATTAGCAGATTAATCACATTCCTAAACAGTCGGGGTTGGCAACCCCGACTATTTAGGACATTAATTTTTAGGGTTTAAGGCTTCTAATTAGGGTTTAACACCTTCCTAAATAGTCGGGGTTGCCAACCCCGACTGTTTAGGATGGTGATTAAGCTGTTAATTACAAAATCGGGTTGGTTTTGATAAATAAAAAAAAACGGGTCGGTTTTAAGAAAAAAAAGTTGAAGCGGGTCTGTTTTGAAAAATTCTTCTTTAACTTTTTTACTAGGATTTATGCACGTGCAATGCACGTGATTAAATATTATAATTAAGTATTTTTGACTTATTTCTTTACTAAATTTTGTTTCTCATTTCCACTTTGATTGTTTTTCTCACTTATATTTTTAAACTTTACTATTGTGATTATTTACTTTTTTAAATGTTTGTTTGAATGGGCTACGCCAAATTTAAAATTTTTATGTAATAGTTGAATTGACAAGAAATAACTATAATCTAAAGCTAATTTGAATTTTTGCATTATTTTAGATCGGCATGAAACCAAGCTTGACTTAAGAAGTTATAATATTGTAAAAGTAAAAAACACTTGAAAAGATAATGTTATAAAAGAAGGATGAATACTTAAAGCCAATAAGATAAGATGATTAATTAAAAGTGGGCTAGAATGAAACTAAAGATAATATAAATTTTGTTACTAGTCATTGATAGACTTTAGAAAAAAAATCATAAAATAAATATTAATGCTAACCCTAGTTCACTTTTATATGATAAAAGCATTCACATAACCATATAAAAAAAATTAAAAGAGTTCATGAAAATCACTTCTAAAGATTCCTGATTTACTCAAAACATTAAGCTATTTTTAAAAATATTAAATAATTTAAATTTGTGTTGTATTTATAAAGAGCCTTGATGGAGATGCTTTTGTTTTAGCAGCTTGTTCTGAATAAGCCATGCATATTATCTTTAAAGTGTAATATTTTTTCTTTATCGTGTTATATGGATGTTTGCTTGGTTTGCTTATCTATCTCTTATTTCTTCAATAAGTTGATATATTATTAACACGATTTACGATGATATACATATCTTTCATACAAATTTGAGACAGGTATAAGATGAATTTTATATTTAGTGGTCTTTAATAAGAATTTAAGTTGTAAAATATGTTACATTCATATTTAAAGATCTTAAAATCTGACAATACTATTACATACTTATCTTTGATCATGTTCTTAAAATTTGATCTTTCATTGGTAGTCATATCCCCATATAAGGATATTTGTAGAGTCGTGCCACTATATAGTGAAAAGAAAAATATCAATTTTTTTTTTACTTACACTATGATAACTAAGTATAATGTGCATATTTTTAGTCTATTATAGTGATTTTTCTCATCTTATTTAGTTTATTATATCTCGCAATGTAGTTGATTAATGCCTTCACTTTAGTTTCTATTGCAATATTATTTATATGGAATTATATATTAAGTTTATGATTCCTTCAGAATTTTTAGAACAAATTATGAAAATTTATAAGTACTTACTAATTTTTCTTGTACTTTTCATGAATAATGTTTTTTTAATTAGAACATAATTGTTCAATATGTTCTTCAAGGAGAACTCGGTTAGTGCTTCTTTGCTCAATATGCTTTTTATCAATGTCAATTCAGGTAATTCATGAATGTTTCTGAATTTTTAGTTTATTTCTTTCACTTCTCCATTTGAAATAAAAACAATTTAGTTCCTTTAAAGGATATCTCTGAACTTTTTGATAGTTTCTCCATAAATAATTCCTTGTATTTTTTTACTTTATAAATAAATATTATCAACATTAGAGATAATTATTTATACATTATAATCAATTAATGCTAACCTACTATATCTTAATGTAATAATATCAAACATTTCCTTTTTTCTTTGCCAAATTTCAGTTTTTTGTGATTTGAACTTTTGAGGGTATGTTTTGTAACTTTTTAAACTTTGATAGTATTTTATAAAAAATTTAAATTTTAAGTTGGGCACTTATAATTTTTATGTTTCATGTATTGGTGATAAATTTTTAAATGTTAGAATATTTTTCGTAACTTTGAAATTTGAAGGTATTTTTATAATTACTAAAATTTTGGGTTGCCCTTTAAAAATTTTAAATTTTTAGCAATCTGTTAATAATTTTTAGATTTGATGTGTACCACTTATAAGTTTTAAAATTTTAGAATTTTTTAATACTTTTTTACTTTTGAGAGAGTTTTTATAATTTTTGTAACTTTGAGGTTATTTTTTTTACTAATTTTAAATTTCTATGTGCCTAATGGTAATCCCTTTGAGATATAAAGCAAATATAAATTTAATAAGTATCATGAATTTATAATCAGTCGCGTTAAATAATGACCTCACTATAGATCATGAATTTCTATGTCTCTTGATCAATAGTTTTTTTTAGTGTAAATTTCTTCTTTGACTTTAAGATTGTGTAATCACTATATCACCATTCTAGCATAAAAAGAATCTCACTCTAAATGACTTCAAACCAATGTTTGAGTGGAACTAAAGTATATACTATTGCTATACTATATTTATATATATATAATATATATATATTATTATATATATATATTATATTATATATATATTATATAATATAATATCATTATACTATTTATAATTATATATATACTATTATATATTAAGGAACATTCATGTCAACTTTTTCAACAAAGAGAATATCTTAACTCTGATATTATAAAAACTAAATATAGTCAATTTGATGTAATTAGCAAAGAGGACTTACATTAGAAAAGATGTGTGAGTATTAGGACTAAAGAATGAAATGCTAATTGGCCATTTGCAATCTAAGTTGGCTACCGTTAAAGACAAACTACCACCAACTACAGATATAATTAAGTATAATTTATTGGTGGCAGACCCAACGTACTAATGCCATAAGCATCAAGATTCCAGATCCCAGTATTAATATAGGAACATGACTTATTCTATATACCTACTCATAGATAATACTATATATATAATACTATATAATATACTTTATATAGTACCTATCCGTATTGCTACGTAAATAAGTATGGATATACTATTATATCATAAATATATATATATATATTATAATTTATTAAAAAGGGTCATATAATCTTCTATAATGAAATTAATTTAATACTCAATAGTAGGATCGTTGTAATAATATCGTTATTAGGAAAAATTCTTCATGAACCAGTATGTTCTTACGATATATAAGATATACACTCCAAATTCTTGTATTTTCTGTAGAGCCAAAAAGTTTGAATACGAGCCTCTAACATTTTGCTCTCACAACGACAAAATCCAGTTAGCATATGTAGATATTCTAGATTAGTTACATGTTCTTTATACAATACAATTGTCCTAGGCAAGTGAGTTATAATGATATTTTTTATTCACATCGTTTGTGACAATATTTGATAAAGACCTTGCATAAAAAAAAATTTAGAGCACATGTCAAAATATATCATAATCTCCTCGCTTTATTTTCACAAGAAAATAATTCTTCATACTTTCAGTTTTACTTCTATGGTTTGGAGAATGAGCTATAAAATTGAATGAGAATATCAGATAATGTAAATATAAGTGAAACCACAACTAAAAGTTAATATGAATATGAATCAAACTACAACTAAAAGTTTAATGGGCATATTGCAAGTAAATTTATATGTAAAATTCATTCGCGAATTGAATGATCATCCATCTTTTAAAGACTTCAAGACACTAATAAACAGAGATGTTATACTAGATCAACGTGTTTATAACTCATAAATAGTAAATCACGTGGTCACAGTCTGGGTTGAAGGAAATAATGACAATGTTTTATTTGAGAGAGAGATTATTGAGTTGATCATCAAGCCCATAAAAAAAATTAATTTATTATTTTTATTCTATTTTATTAATTTAAATAATTATGATATTTAACCACGTGTATTGCACGTGCAACTCAACTATATGATGTCGTTATATCGGTCAAATTTATAAAAATTATAAAATTTATAAAACCTAGGGTATATAAATGTAACTAAGCCTTTAAACTTTTAAGGTTATTTCTACAATTTTAAAAATGTTGAGGGTGTTAATTATAAGTTTTAAAATTTTAGATATAATGTTTGTTTTTAAGTTTAAAAAAGTCAAGGTGTTTTGTGTAATTTTAAACTTTTAATGCTATTATATGTAATTTTTGAAACTTTTGGGTTTTTTTATAACACTTCATGTATTATAATATGTTATCTGCGTATAATTTCTTAATCTTATTTTTTCTATATTTTTGAGCTATAGGTAGTTCATATGGAGTTAATATAGGATATAATTAGTATTTGGATAGATTAAGATTTAAGTGAAATATTCAAAATAATTTTTTAAAAATTGTTGACCTATAAATAGTTCACGTGGAATTAGATAAGATATAATTAAAATTAGAATAGATTAGGATAACAATGTAATATTCAAAAAAGCTAAGTGTAATACTGACCATAGAAAGGTTTTCCCGAACTCGTGCTTTTAAAGGGAGTATGATTTAATTTTTTTCGATAATGGAATCGAACCCAAACTTTGGGAGCTATACTAGAACCTCCCAACCATCCGAGCCACTTACCGTCCCTAAAGTCTTTTTTTAACTATTTTGATATTTTTCTGGTTTATCCAGATAGAAGTATAATTCACCATACGCGGTTAATAATTAGCATATATTGGGCTAGCAATTTGAACTGAGAATAAATAAAAGAGATACTTCTTTCAAATAATAATATTTGAGGGACCAGATAGCAATTTCAATAATGTGAGGGTCTGATGCAAAATAGTGAGTCCCGTCTGTTTTCCCTTCAAAACCCAAAATCCCAGCCCTAGCTTACCGCCTCCACAGAAACTATCCCTCCTTTCGCCGCAGACGGCATCAGCGGCCAATTCCATCAAAGACGAGACTTTTCCGGCTATCTCTTTGTCTTCTTCATCTCAGAGGTAGTTTATTTCTATCTCTCACTAGGGAAGGCAATTTCTGCTCATACTCATTTATCCACCCGGCCCATCTATTACTTAGCCCGTTTAAAACCAACTCATTTAATTAAATGGGTCTAATTGGACGGGTTCATTTTAATCCATGTTAAACGGGTACTAAATGGACGGTGTATATTTGCCCATTTGCCCGCCCGCGTTCCCAAAAGAAAAACCTAGAACCCGTCACCCGTCGATCTCTTCCTCTTTCTCTCTGGCGGCTGAGTTCCTCATTGATCCCTCCTCCTCCGCCTCCTCCTCCGACGCCGCCTCCGCCTCCTCCTCCGCCTCCGACGCCGCCTCCGCCTCCGCCCCGGCATCACTCTCTCCCTCATCATCTCCCTCTGCGATCGCGGAGTCAATCCCGAAGCCCTAGCCGCCCTCGTCCGCGAGCTCTCTTGGTCATCTTCAACTGCAATCTTGGTCATCAAAGGGTAAGCTAGAATCTTCTTTTCCCCTCCTTTTGATTTCTAGTTTAATTTTCATGAAATAAGACTTATCAATAGACAAGGGGAACAAACGAAAGAATATTTATTATTTGAGTAAATAGATGGATTTTTTCAAATTGTTGGGAAAGTGTAAGAGGCCCTTAAAACCTTCTTCGAATCTGCGTGAACTCAAATTGGTGGCCAAAAATGTATTTAGAATTTTTTTTACACAAATTGGACCTAAACAAATTTTTAATTTCAATATTAAATATGATGCTTCCCATGATCATCCAATGAGTTCTTTAGGCAAACAAATTTTTGCTGACACGTACCTGCAATAAAAATGTTCACATGACGATCAATATAATTTGTTAGTTTCAACTACCCAAGAGTCATCTAATGGTGATGTATAAATGTAGACATGACGATCAATATAATTTGTTAGTTTCAACTACCCAAGAGTCATCTAATGGTGATGTATAAATGTAGCCGTTACTTGTTGTGGTGAGCATAGGCAAGCCATTGCTCTGAGATGATATATGCTCACACTTTGAAGTTCATTTTGCCTTTGTTTTTAATAAGAAGGGTTAATCACAGATAGAGAACCCTGAAGTATCATTCTTGTTGAACTTATCCTGATTCATGATATAGTTTGATTTTGACAAATAGATTCTCTGTGTTAGTGTTCTAAGCTTTTACGCACCCTCAAAGATATTCTAGCTATATGGTTAAAGTGTAGTGTAAGTGTGTGGACTATGACATTGTGCGGATAAGATAAATGAAGCGTTACTGCAGCCTTACCAGTTTGCAAGATATTTCAGTTTGTAGATATATAACATTTAAATTTGTTTGGTGATTAATTACAGACTTTACAGTTAACGCACAATTAAATTTAAGGAGATCAATGTCTTCATTTGTTTATTCTCCAACAATGGCTTATCTAATGGTTGATCCCCCCCCCTTCCCCTCCCCCCCCTCTTTCATTAGTTTGTCTAGTGGTTGGTTGCCAAACACCAAGATTAGCGCATACTTTATATATTTTATTACAGTATGTGCTTTGGTTTTTTCCTTTACATCTTACTTGGACAATATAAGAAGAGCAGTGCATTTGTTGGTATTAATCTTTCTAATGCATACTATTTTTATTTTATTTTTATGTTAGTGTTATATAGTTTTCTTTTCATGAAGTTCAGTTGATTTGTTTAAATTGTTCTTATTTTTTCTAAACTAGAGTCTATTCTAATCAAGTTTGGCATAATTTGCACAAAATTATGATAGATTCTTGAAGATATAATGCTATTCTTGAATTAAAATTGTGCCTTTGTCTATTATCTATATAGAAATGTAGTAAAAATAAAGTTTGCAATAGTGGGTATTTGAATTGCCTTCCATTAAACAAGGAGATTGCATAAATAGATCAAAATCAGAGACTAGAAACCTCCGGTGATGGCAACGTCGGTGATGCTTCGAGCTTTGAGGCGGCGAGACGTCGCCTCATCTCTCTCGCCTCCTCTCAGATGTGTGAGCTCCTTTTTAACTTCCTTTTTCCATCTTTCCTTTGATGCGATTCCTGTGTTTTTTTTTGTACGTTTAGTTATTCGATTTATGATCCGGGCATGTCTAGTTAGTTCAAATTAAGATGTAATCTCAGTCCCATAATGGTATTCTTATGCCTTGGTCGCTTTTCTAATTTAGTTAGTTCTTTTTTTTTGGGAGTGAATTTGGCGTGTAATTGAGAAGTTTGGGTTTATTTATGCAAAATTGATCAATTTGCGATATAGTCGCGAGTTTCTTATTTGTGACTCAGCTGCATAGGTTTAGCAGATTCTATGATTCATCTTAGGGGGACAAAGTTAACTGTTTTTGGTTTTCTGGGAGAAACAAAAAATGATTAATCAAATAATCTGAAAACAACAATTTGATAGTATTTTTTTGTGTGAAGTTATTTTTTTGTAGCTAAATTAGGGTAGGCTTGAATGAATTTATTTTATTTGTATGTAGTTGATCAAGAACTTGCTGTTTCTTGTTATATTATTAGCGACATATGAATTATTACACCAACCAATTACTGCTTTTATATTATTTTGTGCCACTTTATTATGTGTTTGCTATATAACTTTATTAGAACTGAATTGAAAAATGATCCATTTGAAATTGATAAGCTAGAAGAATATGAGGTGGAAGAAGGAGAACAAAATGAAAAGAATGAAGTTGAAACAATAACATCCATGGGGACATCAAACGAGTGGTTTCAATTTAGAGCAGATTTAGGAAGTATTATGTATAATCATTGGCTTGCAAGTGGAAACATGCCAGAAATATGGGTTCACAATTCTTAGTAAAGTGCAATGCTACTTATCAAAATGTTTGAGATTCTAATTTGGCATTGTGGACATGCTTGTGAAGCTATTCCAATTGGGTTTGTTCTGTCATCTGACGTGGTATATTTTCTTCCAAAAAAATATGTATATTACATATTGCAACTTTGGTCTGAAAGCACATTTTTACAGGACTTATATTACCTTTTGTTCTGTCAGCAAGGGGATTCGTCGCGTGTATTGTGAAGAATTGTGAAATATTGAGGTCTCTATGGTGATTTAGGATTCTAACCCTTTCTATGAAGACGCACATATGAGGCTTGCTGCAGTACTTTTAATGTTGCTATTGAGTCCAACTGAGTGTTATGTTTGTTTCCTGGTCTTTTCTTTCTTCTGTCATGATCCTGTTCATGTCTGAACATTTGAAAGATGGGAAATAAGTGGACTATGGTTGTGCTACTATTTTGTTTATAGACGAACTTACTACTCTTCTAGTTTATCAAGTAATTAAGTAGATTGTCTTTACTAATCGTGATCGTGTTGCTGGTAGTTATGATGGCATTTATATCAAGTTATTGATCTTATACAGATCCTTGCATACCTTGTGTTTTCTATCTTAATTCATTTAAATATTCTCGCAATATTGTTGTTATTGATCTTTTGGTTTTTGGTTTGGAAATTTGAAGTTAATTTTGCAAATGTGTGAGATCTGTACTTTTATCCATGCTTGTAAATGTTTCAATCGTGAACTTGTTTGCCTTTGTTTGTTTATCTTTGGTTATGTTCCTATCTTTGTTAGTATTTTATCAAAAGCCCCAACAAGTTAGCAAAAAGCCCCCAAAAAGTTTGCAAAAAGCCCACAATAGTTTACAAAAAGCTCCCTAAAAGTTTACAAAAAACACCCCAAAAGTATTATATACATATAGCTACTATAGTTAAATGGGCAATTGGGCGGCCCGTTTATTAAATGGGCGGGTAAAAACCCGCCCATTTAGAAAATATTAAATGGGCCATAAATGGGTAAATGGGCAAAACATGTCCGCCCATTTATGGCCCGCCCATTTAACACCCAAACCCACCCATTTAACATCCCTACCTCTCACCATTCTTTTCATTGTTTTGGGGTCTTGTTTGGCGATTGGTAGTTTTTAGAGAGAGATAGCTTTCGATGGTTTTTTGCCGATACGAACAAGATTCGAGCGCGCACCTAGTAAAACCCTAATAGGAATTTTGATGATTTTGCAGTGAAAGATGGGAAAGGCGAAGAAAGGTCCCAAATTTGCAACAGTGAAGAGCCTGGTCAGCTCCAAAACCCTTCGCAAGTGAGATACTACAGTCCTTACCCTATTCATGATTCAATTCGTTTTAATCTAATAACAGCTTAATATAATTATTTGATTCATTCAGGTACAAAGAGGAGGTCCTGAATCCGAAGAAGAAGGATCTTGACAAAGAGAAACTCCCTCGAAACGTGTAATTTATATAGTATCATTCTTCTTGGTTGCTCAATCGCTTTTCATTAAAAAGAAGGCATTTTAGTAAGTTGTTGTTGTTGTTGTTATTGTTGTTGTGGATAGGCCGAGTGTTTCTTCGGCTTTGTTCTTCAAGTATAACACTGCTCTTGGACCTCCTTATCGAGTCATTGTGGATACCAACTTCATCAACTTCTCCATCCAAAATAAGGTGTTTATGTTTCTTCCTTCTTCTGTAGTGAATATCTTTGACTTGTATCATGAACACATGTTTTATCATTGGTTTGGATTTCCGGTTTGGTACAAGGTAATAATTTTGGTGAATGGCAGGTAGATAATAACCCTTTTTTGTGCGGCATTATCTGACAGATGAATACTTAAAGATGACCCTTCTTGAGTAAAAGAGGATAATTATTCACGAATTTCTGATTCTATGTATGATAAATATGAATACTAAAATGTTCGACTGAATAAGATCAGTATTTGTCAACGAAAATAGTTGCCAGGAACGTTATATCAAAAAGAAAAAAGAAGTGCGCTTAATGGACCAAGCTATTACCTTTGATTTTAACAGGAACAAATTTTCTCTTACAATGTGATAACTTCAGCATATGAACATATATATCTATCAATATTTGTCTACGGCATTTAGATTTCTACATCCACCCACATATTATTAAGCTTTCTCGATAATCTTAGTTACTTAGTGTAGCTTAAGCTCATGTGGTTGTGGATGAAATATGTTAATGAGTTCGGCAGAATGCTCCTCTACGATATAGATATGCATGACTTTAGGTATGTTCATCGATAAACAACAGAAGTTTATTAACAAAGTAAACAATTTTTCAGGGGCCGTGTGCATAAAGTTTAGAAATAATCACTTCCTCCAAATATATTTGATGTTATTGCCAGTATTTGATTACTCTATTAAATCTTAAAATATGTGATTACTAATTACTCAAGGGATCTGACTTTACGTGTAGTTGGATCTGGAGAAAGGAATGATGGACTGTCTGTATGCAAAATGTGAGTTGGAAGATAAACTCAGTTTGTATTTTATTACCATACTTGTTCCTTACCTTCATTTTGCTTTGCTTTGCTTTGCTTGGCTTTATGTCTTATTAATAATTAATTGCTGATGCCAATCTTACTGTCATTTGCTTATTTAGGCACTCCCTGTATCACGGACTGTGTCATGGCTGAGCTTGAAAAATTGGGACAGAAATATAGGGTAGCTTTAAGGTTTCTTTCAGTCTCCTTTAACCAAGATTTTGATTTCAAAGATGATTTGTTTTCATGGGACTTGTGGCTGTGGTTATGCAGTTTTCTAGTTGAAGCTATTGGTGTTGCCCTTTTCATATTGCATTGGTCCTTAGTATCATTTCCGCAAGTGCATATATTTCCTTTTGCTATGACTGAGTTATTCATTGGTTTGTTACAGGATTGCCAAGGATCCTAGGTTTGACCGGCTACCATGCATCCATAAAGGAACTTATGCTGATGATTGCATTGTTGACAGAGTCACTCAGGTAGTACAGTATGAAAATTACTTTTGCTAAATGAACACATTCTAATCACTTGACACATTTCCTCCATATTTGAGAGTAAAGTCGTGAGAGCCATATATGGTCTTTGATTCTTAGGGAACAGTATTATGTTTAGCCAGTTTTTGTTAGCTAACATGTAGGGATAAGCTAAAGTTGTATGGAAGTGAGATGAGCATCTGGAAAAACTTACTATTTTTTTGGTTGAAGTGGGGAATTGAGAAAATTACTTTTATTTAATAACTTATTATACACCTCTGCTAAGTGTTGCTTACATGGAGAATTGCACGTTGATAGTGTTCTTCATTTACCAAAGCCGTGTATTGAAGGAATCTCTCTCACTGTTTTTGGCCACAGTAATATAGACCTTCTTCCTAGTCCTATTTTTAAACGAATTCTTATTTTACTAGTTGTAACTTTTCGATAAACAAAGCTTAATGTTTTGCTTGTACATGCCCACTGATAGATAATGTCCTTTGCCTTGACAGCACAAGTGCTATATTGTTGCGACATGTGATAGAGACTTGAAACGAAGGATACGCAAGGTGTGTAATATATAGTTTATTATGTTTGAGATTTTCTGGCTATTTTTATTGGGAGTGCATGAACATTATGTTCTTTTTGATAGATTCCTGGAGTGCCCATCATGTACATTACTCAACACAAGTACTCAATTGAACGCTTACCTGAAGCAACTATTGGCGGAGGTGAGCTAAATGTGTTATTTCTAATAGTTTCTCCATTTATCAGTTTCTTCTCTCTCTCTCTCTCCCCCTCCCCCCTTTTTCCCCCCATCAGCTCACCCTGAAGTAATGCTAAATGTCTTATCTGCAGCTCCAAGAATTTAAAAAGGTGGCTTATTCAGAACTAGAGGTAGTTCCATGTCATGTCAGCTAGCATGTCCAAGTTTTGTGCTCTGAAGCTTCACTATTGAGCTGTAGTTTCCGGTTTCTAATGTACCCTATAGTTTTGCCTAAAAACGTTTTCAGCTTGTTGTAAACCCTAGTAGCTTCTGCGAGATGCTCTCTTTATGCGTTAGCTTCCAGACATTATAGATGAAAAATTACAGCATGATCATGTTTTTGGTACATGACGATTAATCGAACTATTAAGGGATACTGTGAGAAATGATTGCTGAGGCAAGGGGGCGAGGAGATAACGTGTTGTTTCTCGTTACCTTTAGTTATGTAGCAAGTTACTATGATCGAATAGCAACCTAACATCCTTGAATCCAGGTGATTATTTACATTTCAGCACGGCTAGGAGCTAAAAGCTGAAAGTGGATGCAGTTCAAGGATCTATATGAACTTGATGTAGCCTCTCTTAGCTGTGATAGCCCATGCTTGAGTACGATGATCCGGATGGAGCTCCTCGATTTCAATATGAGAAAGTGATGGATAAAATGTTGGGAAAATACAGTCAGTGTATTAGTAACTATGTATTGGCGCTTCGAGATTTCTGTTTCATATTCTTTTCCCTAATTACAGTCTGCTTAATTTCTACCGTTTATGTAGATTCAACAAGTTGTTGAAAGACAGGAACACACATAGCCTCAAGTTAAATACGATAACACCAAAGAATCCATCACACTAACATTCCTCATTTCTAAGCGTATAAATAAGGATATAACAACGCACAAAAAGCAACACTAAACAGAGAACATACGAAAGAGGAGCGTTATGAAATTTTCCTATAAGCAAAGGATGATAAAAAAGAATATCCACCCAGAACTTGGGAAGTTGACGAGGATCCATTCTCTAAGCACGCAAAGATATAGCAGCAAACACAAGAAAGAACAACAAAAACTTCCTACCAACCAAACCTGCAAAAAGTAAACATGAAACTTTCCTGTCAGCAAGGCGCGACAAAAGCAAAGATAATACGATTACTTGAAACTGAAATCACCGATTATATGTCCAAAAGATCAAAGGATTGAAACTGAAATCACCGATTATATGTCCAAAAGATCAAAGGAAAAGGAAAAGGAAAAAATACATCGATGACGACTCTGAACCCGTTATGGCTCAACCGTCTGTCACCTGCCTCCTTCCACAAAGTCGCATTATTGTTTCCATCGGCCACAGCCATAATATTCCCTGTCAACGACCACGAAACCCTCCACACCGGAGTTTTGAAATCACATAAAACCTTACCCTCCCACTGATCGCCTTCTTTCGCCACCGTCCATATAACCACCGTCCCATCTTGAGACGCGCTGGCTATAGTAGACTTCGGAAGGCCTAAGTTTCGCGCCCACGCCACATCTCTCACCCAGTCTGAATGCATGTGGAGTGCGGGAAACCACTCCAACCTCCAACCACCGTTATCTAACTTCCACACCTTAACAGTGTTATCACACCCACCATAAACGATCTTTTGCACAGTATTGAACTGGCCTGAACTCACAAGCGCACCATCAACTGTGCCTGACCGATCTTAGTGGTGTCCCACCCTCCGTCTGATCTTGAAGTGAGGACTGAAATGTTACCATCTGATGATCCACAAGCCAAGCAGAGGCCGAGCTCATGAGGAGCCCAAGCTATGGAATTGACAGACTTGTGCTCGGTGACAATGTGGGCTTGAATCCATTCTTCAGGCTTGTTTCCTTCTTTCCATATGATCACACAACAACGTCAGAGCTGCAAGAGGCAAGAACGAAACCAAACTTGGGGTGGGCCCATGCAGCCTGCCAGACTGGGCCCTGGTGGCCAGTCAGGGTAGCATAGCGAGGGGGTGGTGAGAGGAGGCACTCATGCCGATGATTTTGATAGTGGTGTCGGAAGAAGCGGTTGCTAGACGCTTGCCGTAGTAGTCCATTGATACATCATGAACCGCATCTTGGGGGCCTGTTTCTATCTTCTGAGCAGGCATCGGTCCGAAGTAGGGGTGCACTCGGTCCGGATACGGCTCGGATATGATGCTTACCATATTCGTATCCGCTTACTCATCTCGGATACAGATACGGATACGGATACTGATATACCTCGGTAAGAAAAATTCATAACCATATCTGCTAAAATCGGTTACGGTTACAGATATACATACGGATATAGGAGCGGATATGCATGCGGATACAAAACGGATATAAGAAAACTAGATAGTATGGAGAAAAACATAGTTCATGTGATACAAAAGAGTTCGTTAATATGTTCATTATAATTAAAAAGTTAAGATTAGACATCCTGATCATCAAAATTAATCACAAATTCATAATCTAAGAATTGAAACTATCGTAAGAGTATGACTAATATGTATTCGGATATTTCGGATACGGATACGGATATTTCACTACAAAACCATATCTGTAACCATATCCTATCGGTTATAGATTTGAGTAACCATATATATATCCTAACGTATAAAGTTACAGATATTTCCTTGAATACGGATACGGTTTAGCACCCCTAGTCCGAAGTTTAAGAGTACCAATGTAGCTACAAAAAGTTATATCGACCTTCAGCTAATTTTGTTTGAAAAGTAAAGTGCAAGCCAAAAGATATATAGAAAAAAGTAACTAAAATTACTAGAGAATACTAGCTGGAATGGAATGGAACCATTTTTCATGATAGCATGTTGTTTATGACTTGGTTTTTAAAGATATTATATTGAGAGAGAATTCACATACCTGTCAACATAACTATAACTTTCCTCGAGTTAGATATCTTAACAAAACCTCTGATCCTAATCATATTTGTATGTCAGAGAACAAAAAGGAATCCCGTCCATAACAACGGCATGTTTTTTCTAATTTTCAGGTTAAGGTGCATTTTTCTACAAAGCAACGTACGATGAACTTGAAGCCTGTTTTAATTTTATTTTTACTCCAAATTTAATTTAAAAACATTAATTGTGGCTTCTAAATAAGAATTCATATCATATGCAAATTTGGATCTATAACGTGTAATATCTTCTATTTCCAAAAGTATTTATACCTAATCTAATAAGAAGAAAATAGATGAAAGTGATATGAAAATTATTGTAATTTTATAATTCATTATTTTTAAACAATTTAATCTAATCTTATAATCTAATCTAATAAGAAAAAAATAACAAAGACATACACTTGTTGAAAGAGATGAAAGTGTTATGATAATTGTTATAATTTCTGATCTAAAAAAATCAAATATAGAATATAAGTAATTATTTTAAAATAATCTAATCTAATAAGAAGAAAATAGATAAAAGTGATGTGAAAATTATTGTTATTTCTTAATATAAAAAAATATTAAATAAACAATACAATTAATTACTTTAAAATAATCTAATCTAATCTAATAAGAAGAAAATAACAAGGACACATACCTATAGGCTATAGAAGGAGATGAACGTGCTATGAAAATTGTTGTAATTCATTGGCTTATATATATTGCTATGTGATGTTGCATGTGAGAGGATAACAATTATAAATAGAGTTCTATTTAAATAATAATAGTATAATTAAACTTTGAAACTAATTATACAATACCGTGAACTATTTGAATTTTAGTCGGTGAGAGATCGCCATGTTGTGTCCTCAGATTGCAAATATTTATTTTAATTTTCCTTTTTAATAATTTTGAGAATGACTTTTGTCTCTTTAATTTGTTTGATGAAACGTACATTTGTAGGTCTGCGTTGTTCCTGGGTTCGACCTTTGGGTAGGGGTGTGCAACGGTCGGTTCTATTCGGTTTTTACCAAAATTTGAATAACCGAACCGAACCGCCTATAATTCAAAACTGAACCGAACTGTTGTAAGTCGGTTCGGTGCGGTTCGGTTTGTTCGGTTCTAACTTCATCAAACTTCTTATCAAACAACAAACTGTGTTAAAGAAAAAAGATATCAACAAAGTAGGAGATTATGAAGCATTAAACACTGATATAATGATATTGTTTTTAACCCATAATGGTTCAGAAAATGAGTTTGTTTGAGATCAGAATGGGTAGTATTGTACTATATTCGATCGGTTCGGGTTGAAAAGTTTTCAAACCAACCCGAACCGCCCTACTCATAAAACCAATTTTTTCGGGTCGGTTCGGTCAGTTTTTTCGGTTTGGACCGAACCATGCTCAGCCCTAGGCTTTGGGGCAGGCATTAATTGACTCGTTAATTTGTTTCGTTTTTGTATATGCGCTCTTCATCTTGTAGGCATTTGTAAATTTGACATTTAATAATTTCATTCAGGTTTACATTTTAATTTAAACTATATCACTGTCTTCATACTATGTATATCCAATATGAATTCATCAATTTATCAACTTACTCTTTCTTACTTACTTAATGGATTAGTATTTGAAGGGGTATTTCCGTCTGTCGAAAGATTTTTCAGAACTCATGCTTTTAAAGAGAGTATGATTTGCCAGCACTGTGAAGATTCAGAAATTTTCACCAAAAAAATCCCTAATAATCCCAACGGATACCATCAACATCAAGCCATCAGGACTAAGAAACGTAAATATTACAGTCGTAAACTCTATCATCAACAAACTGTAGTCCATTATACTGAAAACCCTAGATCTTGATGCTAAATCAAGGGAGAGGTAAATAATTACAATAGAAACCGAATATCTACGATCAAAGGGTGAAGGATTGAGTATAGCTTACATTGGCCGGAGTTCGTCGAGATATCTCAGATCGAAATTGGAAGAAAACGCTCCCTCGTTTTTTTTTCAGAGGTCCTTCAGTGGTCGGTCGCCTGCGAGTTTTTTATCCTCTCTCGCGCTGTTTAGGTTAAAGTGATACGGCGAATAAGACAAAACAATAGGCATTTTGTTGGTGGGGCACATGGGCCTTGGTGAGGTCTGGTGGCTCCAGGCCCGTATAATCTCGGGCTCCAACCTCTTCTACTCTGCCATATTTTAAAATGAGCATTCAAAAAAAATTAATGTTCATGCTATATTTATTCGAGCAAAACTTGTGTCAACTTAAGTAGATAGTAAAAAGTTGTTCACCAAATTTTTTAACCACTCATATTGACTAGGGATCCTTGTATGATATGAAAATGTTTTTTATATTAATAAATGAGTGGCTAGGAAGTTTGGTAGACATCAACTTAAGTTGGTAGGAGTCTTACTCATATTTATTCTTCTATACTAGTGGGAAGATCTAAGATTTACTATTTATGCTATAATAAATTACTATAGCATTTGTTACTGTAGCACAAACGCTATGATTCAAGATGCACTATTCATGCTACATACTAAATACTGTAGCATTTTTTTTTCTGTAGCACAAGCGGGGGAACTGTCGCGTTTAAAAACATTGTTATAGCATTATTACTGTGGCTCAGGCAGGATACTGTAGCATCTAAAAATTATTATTATAGCACTTAAAAAATTATATTTAAATACAGAATTACTGTAGTCGAAATAAAAAATGGAGGTCGTGCTTTGCACGGGGTGCACACTAGTACTAAATACTATAGTAAATATTATTGTATAAACAGTAAATCAAATATGCTACTCTACGCTTGGAGTATTGTTTATACTACAGTGATTTATTGTATCATACAATGAATCAAATATGCTCCTCTACTTGAAGTTACTATTCACGCTGCAATTTTATTTTATCATAAATAATAAAGCAAATCATATGTATTAAAACATGGATCCTCCTTTAAGCATCGATGTGTAGATATAATTTTTAAATCAAATGTATTAAAACTTGGATTCTTCTTTTTAGTATAGATAAGTAGATATGATTTCTAATTGTAAGCATACAATAATCAAATAAAATGTACTAAAACTTAGATTGAGGCAAGTTAAAAATGTAGTACTTAAAAAAATAGGGGGTCGTGCTTTGTACAGGGTGTGCACTAGTGAATATATAATAAAAGGTGCTAATAAGCATTAGTAGCGCAAGTTGCAATTTAGCATGTATCACATTTATGCCTGTTTAAAAAAAGGGGAATTTGGCCTCAGAGGGACGTGTTTGGTCTTTTGATTTTCTACGGGAGCTCTTAAATTTGTAATAGTGAGAAGCTTCTTGTTTTTTTGTATTAGGGGCTGTTTGTTTGCATGGAAGTAATAATTATGAAGTAGCTTAAGTAAAAGAAGTAGATGCTATTTCTGCTACTTCCAAGCAAAAAAATTATGTTTAGTTTTCTAAAATACTTACTTCCAATAATTTTTTTAATGCTTATGTGGAGTCTACGTGTCATCATTATATTCAAAATATTTTTCCAACCCTCAATACTCAGAAGTAGTTAAAATGCATATTAATTAGGAAATAAAGAATTTTTTAGTATTTATTTTATTAGTTACTTCTAACAACTTTTCATTAATAAAAATGCTCTTAATTTTAATAATTATTTTGTAGTAATTTGTGATGGTCATCGGCCAGCTTTTCTTTGAAGAGAATAGTTTGTCTATTAATTATTTATCTAAATACCACGTTGATGTTACGATCAAAGGAGCAATGAAGGAGGGAAATTGGAGACTCGTAGTAATTTATGGTCATCCGGATCTCATCGTAGGCGAGAGGTAAACAATTATTTTGAAGCTATGTGGTTGAAGGATTCTTCTTGCTCTCAAGTGGCGATGAGCCATAGCGATATGAAACTGGTTGTAACATGCTAGAAAATTAAAGAACGTGTCGTGACTTTGAAATTGTGGAAGCAACATGTTGCGCGCAGCGGAAATTTCGACAGCACAACAAGAGAGTCAGATCGCAATAAGAATTCTTGTTTCTCAAAGGGAACAAGAATCTGAAGCTCTTCCTCTCGTCAGCTCTAGGACTGCGCGTCGAGGGAACCTAAAAGCTATTACAAATCACACAATAGCAGTACAACCAATTTTTACGTGGTTCGGCAAATTGCCTACGTCCACGGGGCAAGGAGGGGGGAGATCTACTAATAGAGGGAGAGATTACAACTAGGGTTTACAATCACTCACAAACTAAACCCTCAAACAAACTCTCAAATCCCTCACAATAACTCTCTACAAAAGGATGCACAAAAAACCAAAGAAGGGACTAAATTAAACCTCCTGCGCACCCTGTTCTCCTCTGCAGCTTTTCTTCTGTCCGCAGCCAAAAGAGCAAACAAAACCTCCAGCACCCAAAAACCTAGGGAACGAATTACAAAGATATATATAGCACAGGAGCAATCGGGTGGGCCACGAGATTGCTTTTCACGCGTTTTCACGAATTCACGTGTATCCGGCTTCATCTCTTCACGCGGATAGCACAGGAGCAATCACGTGGGTGGCTCCCACGTCACTTTGTTCACACAACATGTGTTAATTACTTCCTAGTAATATTTTTAAATGTTATCCAAATAAAAAAAAAGTAAATGAAGAGGAAGAAGTTCTGCTTCCATTACTTCTAAAAATATATGAAAAAAAAATATTTCCACTACTTCCTACTTTATAGGTTTGAAAGTTACTTCTATAACATATTTCTTACTTTCAATACTTCCATTATTCAAACGGGCTAGAGAGTAAGATTAGCCAAAAAATCTTTGTTAGAGAGGAAATAAACATAAATTACTAAATTTTTATGAAACGCTGAACGTTCTTCTCTTGTGAAAACTTACCCGATCGCAAGCTTGAAAATCAATAGGAAAATATGGGAATTGTAGCGCAAGGAAGACATGTTCAGACTACTAATTTCCCATGGGTTGCATTAAAAATTTGCCCCTAAGAAGGTACTTGTCTTTTGTGTGGGCTAGTTAGATAATTATAATTGACATGACTAACAGAAACTTTACAAGAGAGAATAAAAATTAAAAATATATGTCATTTCTTTTAGAATATTTATCTAAGGGTCTAAAACCTTATAACTGGTATTTCTAATTGAATCTAAAAACTATCCATGGGACCTTATAGAGTGAAAATGGCTTCTAATTGAACCTGTCCATCTCTCTAGCGAGGATGCAGCTGTGAAGTAGATGGGAACTCAGAATTATCTTTCTAAAACCCTTTTTCAAAACTCAATTTGTATTACATCCTTATTACCATGCACGATATTTTTATCTTCTCGTAAATACATAATAATCAATTTGTGCGAAAAAAAACGGTATCAAAATGGTAGAATATTTTTTGGGTATCAAACTTAGATATGTCGTGATGTTTGAAGGCATCAAAGTCTAAAAACGCAAGTAACCCTTCATTAATGGGCAGTTTGGTTCGTTAGACTTAAGGCCAATCTGCTTTACTAAAGTTTATAATGAAATACTTATAAAAGTAACTTATAGAAGCCGATGAAAATAGCAATTTGATAACTAAATAAAAAATAATAATTTAAAAATAATTAACGTGTTTGGCAAAACTATGCTTAATGACCATTTATTAAAAGATTCAAGGAATATATGTTATATAAACTAAAAAAAGCAAATAAAATATCCTCATGTTGTTTTTTAAAAGCACCATCTTAAAAGCATAAATAGTTTCAACAAACATGTAAAAAAAGTTTTGCCCAAACATCATTATCAGCTACTTCTTGTGAAAAAAAAAAGCAGAAACATCCTAAAAGAAATACTAGACTGCCCATTAAAATAGTAAAAGAAGCAATCAAAATTTTATTTGCAATGTTTGGCTGGTGACAATGTAGTTAATTATGATAATTGAAATTATATTTCGTATAAAAAAGCTACAACATTTGTTGCAGCTAAGTTGGTTGCAACAAATATTGCAAATTTATATTGACTAAAAAAATTAAATAAAAATATTAACACCACATCATCAAATTATAGTGAATCCTCACAAAAAAATGTAAATCTTTTCTGTATTTGCAGTGAAACAAACAATTGATACCCACGAACGTGCATTTTCTACAACTAGTATAGTGCACGTGCATTGCACGTGGACATATTTGTTTTATGTTCTAATACTTTACACAATTCATTATTTAATTAATGGAAGAGTTTCATTTTGAATGTAATTATAACAACATTTGACGCACGTGGACATATTTGTTTTATGTTCTAATACTTTACACAATTCATTATTTAATTAATGGAAGAGTTTTATTTTGAATGTAATTATAACAACATTTGAGGACTTATTTGTAATTTTCTTACAATTTAGATCATATACTTCTTTTAATCTTCTTAATATTTAAGTTTTGACCTATATAGGGGTTTATCTGTAAAAAATTATGAAATTTCAGTATTTTTATATAAATATATGGAATTTTAATGGTCTTTGTGAAAATTATGAAGATCCATGGTTGTTTGGGGAAAAATTCAGGGTTATTTTGTGAACATTGGCAAATCATGAAATACCCAAAAGATATAATTTTTTTAATCTTAAAATAGTGCATCTAATCTTTACTATATACTACTTTATGCACTATACTACCATGGATCTTCAAATTATTAAATAACGAATTGTGTAAAGTATTAGTATAGTGCATGTGCGTTGGTTCTAAATTCTTTTGGTTCTATATAGTATATCCATGGTAGTATAGCGCATAAAGTATAGTATATCCAAACTATACAAACAATTTAGCATATTTACAAACATGCCTAGGAGTTGAAAACCAATTTACATGCTAAGGCAAAAACATATACGAAGATGGAAGGGGGAAAAACCAATTAGTCTATAACTGAAATAGCTGCAGATTTTGATAAAATACAGGACCGCCTTCTTTGTCAGCTTCACCAGTTTTTTCTCTGCTCTCTGAATTGTTACACCGATGCTTCCATTACCATCTCCTCATTCAATTCGATTATACTCCACCAGTGATGTTACCATTGACACACTCACACTTCTTGCGGTTTGTAAGTGATGTAGTTGTGTCTCCTTGCTTTTCAATATGAATAAATTTTGATTAAAAGTTAGAATTTTGGTTAGAGAAAATTGATAAGATTCTATAGTAATTTATAGTGATTTATGGAAGATGAATAGTTGTAATATTTTTCATTATTAGTGTGTAATGTCAAGACTTAGTAGGGAAATGTTATAATAGTAATTTATAGTGATTTATGGAAGATGAATAGTTATAACGTTTTTTATTATTAGTGTGTAATGTCAAGACTTAGTGGGGGAATGTTATTAGTGGGTGGTTAAATGACAATTTGATGCTAATAAATAGGGAGGTTATGAAAAATTAAGTATGTATATATCTTAATGTATGCATGTACGAATGTGCTAGAGATGTATGCATGTATGTGTTTCCAAGGATGTTTTTGGAAGAAATGTTTTAACATGGCAACACACTTTTATAATAGTATTAGATTAGATTAGATTAGATAAAAAAAGAATGCAAATATACTGTAACTTTTAAAACAAATCAAAATTGTGACCAACCGTGCAAATATGGCTTCATCATCACTCCTCTCTGGGGAAAGAAATAATAAACCGAAAAACAACGAAAAAGATCAATGGATAAAATCAGCGTCACCCATCTCAATCTCACGCGCCGCCACCCAAAAACTAACCCAAATACTGACACGTGGGTCCCACATAACAAGAACTAAAGCATAATAAAAACGACCCCCGTTTCCCCGTCTCTCCTCACTACCCTCCCGAACCCAAACCCTTCACTCCCTCTAACGATGGCGGCGGCCGCAAACACATCCTTCCTTCCGATCCCCCGCCCATTTCTCGATCCAAAAACCCTAAATTCCTCCCCCAAAACCCTAGGTTCGGTTTCGGATGCCAAAACCCTAGCTCGTCTCCTCACTCAGCTCCTGCTCCAATGGCGGCACGCAGCTGCCCGCCGCCGGCAGCTCGCCATGGTGTCGTCTGCTCCGTCGATTGGAAACCCTTTTCCGACGCTCGATTTTGATACTTCCGTGTTTAAGAAGGAGAAGGTCACTCTCGCCGGCCACGATGAGGTCTCGATCTCTCTTTTAACCTTTTGACGCAAGTATTCTCTTTTTGATTGTATTTTTAATGATTTTGGGGTTTTGCTTTGTGTATTGCAGTATATTGTGAGAGGAGGGAGGGATTTGTTCCCTTTGTTGCCGGATGCGTTCAAGGGGATTAAACAAATTGGCGTTATTGGTTGGGGGTCGCAGGTGAAAAGTTACTTCTTTTGCTAATTTAAGCACTTTGTTGTAAAAAAGTTGGGGTTTTCCGTACTTTGCTGAAAAGATTACTTTTTGAGGTGAAAGCAATTATGCTATCGCAGTAGGTATATTGGAGCATCTTTGCTGATTAATTATTACTTGATATGCTTATCTGTTAATCACGGCAGTAGAAATTCAAATAAATATTCCTCTTATTGTGATGAAGCAGATGGTTTAAATTAAGGAAAATGGAAATAGTTCCTTTATGCCGATGGTTTTGGAGACTTCAGTGGAAAAACATATAAAGAGCAGGGAAAATCTATTTACATATTTTTTAAATTGGGTTGGAAATTAATTTGCTGCAGGTTGTACATATACTGGAGCATGAAACTTAAAAAGGTCATTTCTTGAATTTGAATGTGTTTGAATGTGGAAAATCCCACTGCAAAATTTGCACTTGAAAAGGCAGATAACCAGGTTGATGCATCGGAGTCTTTCAATTATTTCATACTGTATAACTGATAGCTTTTTTCAGGGAAGACTTAAGAAATAACCTCTCAAATTTATTGCTGAAGCTGGATCTCCAAATTAAGATACCCTAGGAGAATGGAGATGGTTTTCAGAATTAACACCACCTTTTGTATACCTATGTTGTCAACATTTAGAAGCTTAAACAGGCTTATTTCCTCCTTTTTCAGCTGTGACTAGGTCATTATAATTAAGAATGATGTTAAAAGTTAATCTTCAATAAAGTTGAACGGTGGCCGGAATGCCATTCTGTGCATGTGAAAAACCAGAGCTTTCTATTTTTATGAACTGATATTTATAACTTTCTTATATTTAAGCAAAAATTGGGTTCTTGATTGCCCTTATATTGTATGTTTGCCTTGTGATGAAAGTTGGGTTCTTGATTGCCCTTATATTGTATGTTTGCCTTGTGATGATTTATTTGATTTCTATGTAGGGTCCTGCTCAAGCGCAGAATCTGCGCGATTCACTTGCTGAGGCTAAATCAGACATCGTGGTCAAGGTCTGTCTTGTATCCATCTGTTTATTAAATCAGCTTTGTTTTCCTTCTATAATTGCGCCTTGATATGGAATAAACTTCTTTATTGGAACACGGTTTTTTTCCCTTTCTTTCTTATGATTTTGGTCTTTCTACTTTGCCTGTTATTATATGCTTCCACAAATTGGAGTGAAGATGGGCTCCCTCCCTCCCTCTCTCTCTGCTTGCATGCGTCATTAATATTCTCTGTTCAGTAATTGAGCAACTTTTGACTGGTCTTCTATTCTTCTGCAATTTTCTCTGTATCTTATACTTTGGGCAATTTTTCTTGTTTTTGCAGATTGGATTGAGGAAGGGCTCACGTTCTTTTGAGGAGGCACGTGCTGCTGGATTTACTGAAGAGAGTGGAACCTTGGGTGATATCTGGGAAACTGTCTCGGGCAGCGACCTTGTGCTATTACTGATTTCAGATGCTGCACAGGTTAGTAGATACTAACTAATAAACGTGGGTAATTTTGAAGTTCATCTGTACCTTCTGCATGTAACGTTTTGAGTGAGTTTACTTTCTTTGTTATTCTTAAAATGTATGCTTTGCGACATTGGTTTAACTTTTCTTGTAAGAAAGAACCTTCTTCCAGACCTATGTTCAACATATTCCTTCAAGATCGTAACATGTCGAGTCAGGAACTTAGTGATTAATAATTTCTTTTTAGTCATGTCTAAAGGCTGTTGAGTTTTAGTGATTTTCTCATTTTCCATCTCTGGGTCTTCAGTTCTTTAACCGTAAATCTGATTTGCAGTTTTCTTTAAGCTTGTTATATAGGGCCAATGATTTGTACAGTAATTCTTTCCATTTTTTTTGACAGTTTTTTCTTTATGGCGTTTTTGTTACTCTGTGTGTTCCTTGCTAGAATTGTGGATATTAGTAAATAAACAAATCTTTTTGTACAACAGGGTAAACTGTAAACCTTACTTTTCATGCTGTTTGTATGTAGAAGAGAGTATGGTTGTACTAACCCCTCATATGCATTTACAACCCTCCCAAAAGGTAAAACCTTCTCCTGCGGCTTGGATTTGAAAGTGAAATAGATGGTACTAACTCTTCTCTGTGGGTCCATAATCCTTCAAGACCGGAAACTGATGCTATTGTCAACCCGAATTCTTTCTTTCATTCTCTTGGACTATTTCCATTACTCCCCGATGCACATATCCTCATCTACATCTTTTCAGATGAGGGTCCAACGTGATATCACAGATACACAAATGTTCATCGTGTTGTTGTATGTTTTTCCTTAAATACAAATGAGTGCGGTGGACAGGAGTATGTTAGAAGTTACATTCAACTTATGTCATAATCTTTTAGTGGATGGTTCAGTTCATCGTCTTCGATGTTCCACTAGAAACTGCAAGAGAGGATTCAAATTTGTTGAACTTTGAGTAAGTTCATCTGACGTCAAGTCAATAATTTTCCTTTAAACAACACTTGCTAAATTTGTTTTACAATTAGAACTGTTTACCCTAATTAATTTCTTGCAGTTGGTTGCAATTTTTAGTTCATGTATTGTTTGATGTTTCATATCTGTATCATCAAACATTTGAAAACATTTTACATCTACTGGTAGGCAATAATATCTCTTTAGCAGAGCATTGATTGAAGTTGATGTTCAACTCATGTGTGGTTAATGATGCAGGCGGACAATTATGAGAAGATCTTCTCTCACATGAAACCAAACAGCATCCTGGGGCTCTCGCATGGTTTTCTCCTGGGCCACTTGCAGTCCCTTGGTCTTGATTTCCCCAAGAACATCAGTGTGATTGCTGTATGCCCCAAGGGAATGGGTCCGTCGGTAAGGAGGCTTTACGTTCAGGGAAAGGAAATTAATGGTGCTGGCATCAACTCCAGTTTTGCGGTTCATCAGGTACCGTAATGTCATACCTATGTTTGCGATATCTTTGTAAATTTTGACTGAGATAAATAGTAGTGTAAATGACCACTTATGAGCCGCTTGATGTGTCCAAGCTTCGTTTATTTACATTTTGAGCTGTTTTTGCTCCAAGGAAGTTTTGCAGTGTCTTTATAACTTACTGTGTACTTTCACTTTTCAGTTAATATAGTTTTTTTTATACAATAAAAGATGTAGGGTTAAAAGCTTGAACTAACTTGTAAATGCATGCATTGGCCAATTTGACCATACTGTTTTTCCTCGTAAATAGGATGTTGACGGCAGGGCTACAAATGTTGCTCTAGGATGGTCAGTTGCTTTAGGTTCTCCCTTTACATTTGCCACTACCTTAGAGCAAGAGTATAAGAGTGACATCTTCGGAGAGCGAGGTGAGCAAAGTGGCATCCAATATACATCTCTTATTTAACTGTGCTGGCTGTGCTGACTACTTACTGCTCAGGTATTTTGCTTGGTGCTGTTCATGGAATCGTCGAGTCTTTATTCAGAAGGTACACAGAGAATGGAATGACAGAGGAACTTGCTTACAAAAACACTGTTGAGTGCATTACTGGGATTATATCAAGGACCATTTCGACAAAGGTACAACTAATTTATAGTTTAAGTTTATCATATTACATGATCTGACTTATGAAAGTGACCTATTCATTCAGGGCATGCTTTCTGTGTACAATTCGTTCTCCGAGGAGGGGAAGAAAGAGTTTAATGCTGCATATAGTGCATCATACTATCCTTGCATGGATATATTGTACGAGTGCTATGAGGATGTTGCTTCTGGAAGTGAGATTCGTAGTGTTGTATTGGCTGGGCGACGATTCCACGTAAGTTCTTAGATTTGATCTATAATTGTATCAACAGACTAGTCTAGGTCATGGGCTGTTCAAAGTCGTCTTTTCTCTAGGTTATTACTTCTAAGAATTAATGGCTAATACAAGTAAAACTTTCAATGTTTTTTCTGAATGACAGGAAAAGGAAGGGCTTCCAGCTTTCCCAATGGGCAAAATTGATCAAACACGGATGTGGAAAGTCGGCGAGAAAGTTCGTGCTGTCCGGCCTAAAGGTGACTTGGGCCCTTTGCATCCCTTCACTGCTGGGGTTTTTGTAGCTCTAATGATGGCTCAGGTACATCCTTTGCTTATTTGGAGATGTCTTAAGATTATTTTCTTTAAGTAGAGCGATAGATACAAGTTGACTGGGATGAGAACGGATGTGAAATAGTGTTCCTTTACTTATTTGCTTATCTGGGATGAGAACGACAAACAACTTTCTATTGACAACATTCTCATAGAAATGACATTATTGCCTAAAGAAAATTTCTCAAATTTCTGTTGACAACATTCTCATAGTAAATTGAACAAGTTGACTTATGCATCTTCTTTACGGTTTGGGATCCTCTACTAATAAGGAGGTTCCTAATATCTTCTAATGGGATATTGGCCTTTGATTGATAAATCAAAGGCCAAGATCTCCTCATGAGCAAAAGTAGGGGGAGGATAAGGATGAGATCTTGGTCTTTGATTGATAAATCAAAGGCTAAGATCTATTTATTAGGAGATATTAGGAACACTATTTATTAGTAGAGGATGCCAATCCCTTCTTTACTGGAACAAAGTGATTAGAAAGTAAGGTAACAGGCAATAGGATCAAAGGAAAAGAGTTCATTTACTTCTGTGAAAGGAGAAATTGATTAAGCCCTTTCAGAAGGATCTATTCATCTTAAAGTTTGGTTCATTTTATTTGCATTTCCTCCTCTTTCACATGCTTTCTGGAACCTAAGAAGGGAAACAATTTCTCAATCTTTTATTACATTTTTCAAACATAGCACTTGTTGTCAGTGAATAGTGAATTGTTGTTTTAAAAAATCTTATTGCTATAAACTAATTTGCAGATTGAGGTTCTGAGAAAGAAGGGCCATTCATACTCAGAGATAATCAACGAAAGTGTCATTGAGGCTGTTGACTCCTTGAACCCTTTCATGCATGCTCGTGGGGTTTCATTCATGGTAGACAATTGCTCCACAACTGCCCGATTAGGATCTAGAAAGTGGGCCCCTCGATTCGATTACGTCCTCATGCAACAGGCCTTTGTGGCTGTTGACAAAAACATCCCAATCAACCAAGATCTCATCAGCAATTTCTTGTCTGATCCGGTTCATGCAGCCATCGGTGTTTGTGCACAGTTGAGGCCTACTGTGGATATATCTGTACCTGCTGATGCTGATTTTGTTCGCCCAGAGCTTAGACAAGCTAGCAATTGAGTTGCACGGTGTTATTTTTATGTAGTTGGTGGATTTCTATTAGAGAGGGTGAATTGAGGCCTTTATTTAAGAATTCATATTCTGTATGTTTGTCAGAACATTTGGTGAGTCTGTGTGAGGTTTTTTGACTGCCTTAAAAGATCCTACGAATAATGTTATGGGTTCATCTCATGCATATCGTTTCGATAGCTATTCTCTGAGCACTGGCTCCTCAGCAGTATGCATGATGCAGTGTTCCATCAAAGCTGAGTAATTTCGAATAGGCCGAAAATGAGGCTACGAAGTTGCTGATTTTGGTTCTTGTTTTGTGGTTTATGCGCAAAGAGTGCACATCTTGTTTGAAATGATTGCCTTTACATTTGGTTTGGTTAGTTTTGTCTATACGAAAGTGGCAGAGTGATTGAAGTCTTGAAGATTTGATGTACACCTTCATTACAGCATGCTCCCTTTTCAACAAAAGGATTTATGAGATGAATGGGAAGTGCATGATATGTGTGCTTGCTTCTTATGCCAAGCGCAGTTCCTTCCTGCAAAATAGTTCAGTAATTGCTATGTTAAGTGACGCGCTTGAACGAGTACAGAGCTGCGCATGGATAAGCTCATAAAAGTTAGATTATTGTGGATAAATTTGAATGCATTTTGCTTTCCGCCGAACCTGTCAACCTGTCCGTGGTCAGTAGAGTTAATTCAGAAGAATATGAAATTTATGGCTTTTTAAATATTTTTTGACTTCAATGTTGAATGGCAGGGAAAAGTTAGAATCTTAGCGACTTAGAGCATCTCTAACAACTTCCTCAAAAATTTCTCCAAAATGGGGAAGCAAAAGTCATATTCTCCAAATTATTTTTGTTCCAACTCCAACAGCTTTCCTATTTTGAAGAATCCTGTATTTATTACAATAATAAAAATATTCTATATCTTTGACATGAACTTTAACAATAAAGATATAAACATGAACTTTTTGTTTTTTCCCCCTCATTTTATAGTGTTGAGTCGTTTTTTGAGTAGTTGGAGACTTGAAGAACGTGAAACATTTATGACAAAGTTCTCCCCAAAAATTTTAAGAATGCTGCAGATTTTGGGAATGTTCCTCTTTTTTTCTCCTTCATCCCTATTTTGAGGAATGAGATGAGGAATCTGTTGTACAAAAAAAAAACTTAAATTCTCCAAAAGTAAGAACACCAATAAAATAGGTAAGCTGTTGGAGATGCCCTTACTATTTTATGTACTATGGGGCTGTTTGGTTCGCTATTATAAAGGCTGAAAAACTCAGAAAACCCCTCCACGTCAGATTTTTAGCTTTCCACGTCAGTTTTTTGTTTCCGTCCATTTCTTTGTGCCGCTTTGGTTCGCTCGGATGGAAGAGGGAAAACTCTGCTGAAATCGCCGCCAACTAAGATTTTTTCCCTCTCCAATTTCCTTCCCTAACCAAGTGAAATTGATGAAAACTCTGCCACGTCAGATTTTTTACTTCTCTGCTTTGTTTACAAAAGTTTTCTTTTTTTTTCTATGCGAACCAAACACAAGAAAAATAAATACATTGGTTTCCCACCATTTTTTATGTGCGAACCAAAGCAAAACAATCTATTTCTTGGAAAAGTTTGGAAAACTCAAAACTTGTGTTTCTTTACATGGAATTGCATTTCTCTATATCAAGGAAACGAACCAAACAGCCCCTATATATACTTCATTGCTAAGCAAGTAAAGTTTCTACGCGAACCCTCAATTATTATGCTCTTTCACGAATAAACTCGCAGAAAATTTGGAAAACTATGTACACAATTTTCTAACAACTATAACTCGTTCAAAAGAGAGATTGAATCTGGATTTTTGTACAATTCTCGCTAACGATTATAAATCATTACACCAATAAAAATTGCAACGTGTAAACTATTTAAAACAATAGCTGTCAATCTTCACCAACTCACTTGTCTCGCCCCCTTACCTTCCTCCGCGAGACATCCTACCGCTTCCCCTGTCGAGATCCAAAAAACAACCACCACCGTCACCACCACCACCAAAGCGAAGTCCTCTTCCTCAGATGGCCGTCAAACCCTAGCCTTTTAGCCCTAAAAATACCCCAAAATTACCGCAACCATGGCCCTCAACATGAAAACCCTAACCCAAGCCCTCGCAAAGACCGCTGCCGTCATCGAGAAAACAGTCCAAACATCGATCCAAGAGGTCACCGGCCCTCGCCCTCTCCAAGACTACGATCTCCTATATCAAGTGGGCTCCGGTGGTCCGGGCCTCTGCTGGCGCCTGTACTCGGCCCGGCCTCGATCCTCGGCCCCGTCGACGCAGTATCCTCTCGTTTGCGTGTGGATTCTGGACAAGAGGTCGTTGTCGGAGGCTAGGGTTAGGGCTGGGCTCTCGAAGGCGGTTGAAGATGGGTTCTTTGAGATGGTTAGGGCTGATGCGGGGAGGTTAGTGAGGATTCGGCATCCGGGGGTTGTGCATGTCGTGCAGGCGTTGGATGAGAGTAAGAATGCGATGGCGATGGTGACGGAGCCATTGTTTGCTTCGGTGGCTAATGCGATTGGGGATTTGGGGAATGTTGAGAAGATTCCTAAAGAGCTCAAGGGGATGGTAATGTTGCTCTTGTTGTTTATTTTCAATTATTTATATTAGTGAATGTTTAGTTAGAGATTGTTAAAGAGCAAATTGGATTGTGATCCAAAAATGATAGGCAAGTGTCGGAGTAGCATTAGATTCATGGACCAAGTATGTAATCCGAATTGGGAAATGGCTTCCTTCTAAATAGTAGATAAACTAATTCTTAGCATTGAGGTTAGATTATGGTAAATGGTGATGGAATTCTTAGGCTTTTTTTAAATTTTTTTGTGGAGGACTAGGTTCAGATAAGTGGAAACAAGAGTGGCAAATTTGAAGCATGAGAGTTACCTCTTGCCTTAGATTTTAACAAGATGTTGATGTGTTTTCCGAAGTGAAACTTGACTAGAATGCACTCATTTATGATCAATGTGGGCATATTTAACGGGATAAAAGTTCTTAGACGTATAGAATAATTGTATTTGATGGGCTGCCTCGGTATGAGTTACGTAATGAAATCTAAAATTGGATTAGCTACAAACCTATGCTGACATGTCGTTTGATGAGTAAGGTGTGCAATATTTAAGTTGGCCTAAAACACCATAAGTAGTTCTTAAGTTAGCAACAACTTTTTAATAATTTAACTTGAAAATCAGCTAATAGGACAGCAACGCTGAAAAAACCCTCCTTTTGGCTGCTTAAGCGGTCAGCAAGGCGGAAGCGGTGCCTCACCTCTTCGCTTTCGTCATAAGCGGCCAATGAAAGTGGATGTGGCTCGTTCTGCTCGAAAACACAGGAGAAAGCTTGTAAAAGCACTGAAAAGCTCTTTACAACGCTTTAAAAAAAATTACTGTTTATATTATACCCGACCTGAACCAAAGCCAACACATTTTCTTAAGTAAACCCCCACCCCATCCCCTCCACCCCAAAAAAAAAAAAAAAAAAAAAAAATCTGCGATTCGAAACATAAATAAAGACTAACCCTAACTCCTGCTCCAACCATCTCATCCAGTGCCTTTGGCCAACTCTGTGGCCTTCTACCACCAAATCCTTCTCTAGCAAGCTCCGCCTTCACCATCACACCATCACCTTCTATTGAGCTCCTCATCGATCCTCTCCATCACCAACTTTTAGGAACCCTTTTTTAAAAAACCCCCCCCCCCACCCCCCCCCCCCAAAAAAAAAAAAAAAAAAAAAATAATCTGCGATTCGAAACATAAATAAAGACTAACCCTAACTCCTGCTCCAACCATCTCATCCAGTGCCTTTGGCCAACTCTGTGGCCTTCTACCACCAAATCCTTCTCTAGCAAGCTCCGCCTTCACCATCACACCATCACCTTCTATTGAGCTCCTCATCGATCCTCTCCATCACCAACTTTTAGTACAGTCCTCTCCTCCGACATACTTACATATATCTAAACCGAATGCTTTTTGCTGCTAAAGCTCCAAAAAGCCTGAGCAGTGTCTCACTGCTTTGCTCAACTTTCCGCTTTTCACAGCCTTGAAGGACATACTGATACGAAGTTTGATACATAAAAAAACAGACTGATACCAAATACCAGATGTTTTTGCATTATGTGTCTTTTACACCAGCATAAATTACCATCCCTATAGCATAAATTACGATCCCTATAGCATGTTTACAAGTCCAATAAACAAAATTCTGAATATTTTAACTTATTGCTGTGTCATTACTTCATCCACAAAACTCCATGCTTGCTATTTCAGAAAACTTTTTTAAACTACATATAAACTTCCAATGTCGCATTTGCATGTTTAATTTCAGTTATGTCAGAAAATCTTTTCATAGTATGGTAACACTCCTTACCGCATGAGTTCTTCAAATATACATGCATGTAGAACTCTAATCTTCCTGCCATTCTTTCATGACCCAATTTAAATGCAGCATGTATGTGTACGTGCAACGTTGTGCAAATGTATGTGTGCCTGTTTGTTAGTTTGATATGTGAAATTGTTAAGATAACATCACATTTGTTTTTTTCTCATTTCTTCTACTTGGTGAGGCCATTTTAATTATGTTTGGCAGGAAATGGGGATTTTGGAGGTCAAACATGGTCTTCTACAAATTGCAGAATCATTAGACTTTCTTCATAATAATGCCCGTCTTATTCATCGAGCTATTTCTCCCGAGGTCATGTTTTTTATCTGACAAAGTGCTTCATCTATTTTTATATGATTTCTTTGGTAGACTAAATTGGTTACTTGTACCTATAGCCTAATGATTATATCATTGGATTCAATATGTTGTTTCTTGTTTCCTTCCATTCTTCTCTTTTATAAATTTAACGGATTACATTTTATTCGTGTGTCTTCATTATTTTGATTCGAAGGTTGTTCCCCTTAAAATCTTCAAGATGCAAGCATTCAACAGAATTTGTGATTTGTCAGAGACATGTTTAGTAGTTATCTAGTCAGTAGATAAATGGTCAGAAAGGATTTCCTGATGGTATTTCAGTCTTAAACAAATTCTCTGCAGCTTAATGATGATTTGTAGGATGGATCTTAAAGTAAGGTATGTGGTAGGTTGGTAGGTGTGAGGGTGGATTTTCATGTTAGGTCTAGCTTGAATCCGACGCTTCTTGAATTGGTACTGGGACTATGAGTGTTATGGGTAGGTTCTGACTATACCCCTCTTAAATTGGATTTATAACAGGTCAGGCGACTTCCAGGTTCAAGTCAAGCCAAAACTAGAAGTTTTTGGTGTTCTCTATTACATTTAAAATATATCATGCTTCATTTACTGATGTAATTCTCTAGATTGCTTCTTTTGCAATTTTCTAATCCACTTATAGTTATGTTTGGGACCAACAAGCCAGTCTGAAGCAAGGATACTTCAGCTTTGAGTTGTTAATTGATGCATTTTGTTCTTCTGTTCAGACGGTCTTTATTACTTCGGGCGGAGCTTGGAAGCTAGGGGGGTTTGGATTTGCCATTTCCATTGACCAGGCTTCAAGTGGTTCAATCTCCATGCCACCATTTCACTATCCGGTCAGTATTTTCCTGTCCTCCTGTGGTTTCTCGTGCTCAGAACCCCATATTTGTCATTTTCATTTTGATTTGAAAGTGCTGATTACGATGGAAGTAAACCATTACTTTTGTGGTGTTAAGTACTCTGATGCTAATTATCAGCTGAGAAGGAAAAACACGATATGGCTACATGATTGCTTTGTATATCTTTCAGGAATATGATGTTGAAGATTCTATTCTACCTCTTCAACCGTCATTAAACTACACTGCCCCCGAACTGGTCCGAAGTAAGGCACTTTCTGGTGGATGTTCTTCTGACATGTTCAGTTTAGGGTGTCTTGCATACCATCTTGTTGCTCGCAGGCCTCTTTTGGATTGTCATAACAATGTTAAAATGGTGAGTTTCAGTTCCTCATTTTCTTGTCTGAATGGTAGTTTAAGACATACTTCAGTTTACTTGTTATACATATTTCACACACGCACATGCACACATACACACTTTGTCGCAACCCCACACCCCCATGCGCACAGGAGCAGCTTTAATACTCCGATTGCAGAGCTATGAGCTCCAATTTACATGCTTTATCCTTTTGGGGGTTCACGGAGTCATGGTTACACAGACATTTAGCAGCAACAAAGGTTGGTTGTAATAATTTTTCATGAAAACCATGAGAGTTGTCTTGAAGAAATATTCTTTACATTCTTCTTTTAACATTGACAAAGATACCAGGTTCTATAAGTTACCTCATTGTATTTAGTTTTGTAGTTAATGAAATTTGTCTGTAAAAGGATACAACAACAACAACAACCAAGTCTTTATCCCAATTGTTTAGGGTCGGCTACAAGAATTCTATTCTTCCATTCCATTATTGTTATGGATCGTCTCCTCCGTTAAGTTAGTCCTAATCATATCATTCTTAATTGTTTCTAACCAAATCATTCTAGGTCTACTTCTAGATCTCCTAGCCCCATTAACTATAGTATTATCGATTTTCGTAATCGGTTTACTAAATGGTCTCCGTTGTACATGCCCAAACCATCTTACTCTATCTCTTTTTATCCTTAATAGGAGCAACCTCTAATTTACTACGGATGCATTCATTTCTTATCCAATCTTTTAGTGTATACCCACAAGACCATCACAACATTCTCATTTCTGCTACATTCATTTTTTTAACATGTTTTTTTAATTTTCTGTAAAAGGATACATCTCTTAATGCATAAATGGGGACAATCAGAATTGTTTGCTGATCGGTATTATCATTTTGCATTTGCATTTATTTTTTCCATAATTATTACAGTAAATGTAGATTACATGTCTCTTACCTCATAGCCTCACACGCAACTTGTGGGTCATAGTATATGTTCCTACATGTCTTGATGAATAAATACATAAAATCAAGTGATCTCACATTTTTTTTCTTCATTTGCCATGGCAGTATATGAATACATTAACATACTTGTCAAGTGATGCTTTCTCTATGATTCCTTCGGACTTGGTTGGGGACTTGCAAATGATGTTATCTTTGGATGAAGCTTCTAGACCAAATGCTTTGGATTTCACAGGTGCATGGCACAACAATTAGATGCTCTTTGATAATTTTGTCTGGTTGTATATTTCTGTTATTAAACATGTTAAAATGTACTTATTTACATCTCATTAGTTGGACTAAAGTAATGCCAATGACCATGTTATAGCACCCCCCAAAAAAATGTTATTGTTGATGGTATGAAGTATGATGATGAAAGTTCCTTTTTCATTAGGCTGAAACTTAAATTTATAACATTTTCGATATTATTTTGGAGACCAATTTTGCTTTGGTGTATATCGTTTTAAGTATCAGTCTGGGCAGTTTGTATTTGGATGAACGAACAAGTTATTATATGATTTCGATTGATTCTTAGAAGTAAGTCAGTTTTTGGCCTAGAGGTTACGTGGATCTTATCTTGAAATTCTAATATTGTGTTTTTGAAATTTTTTTCTTTTGAGTAGAATTTTTAAAATACATGTTAATTTCTTGTTGCAGAAATAACGTTTACACACGTGTTAACATATCTGGATTAACATCAAAGTTTCATGTTTTTGTCAAACTTATTATCAGGCTCATGTGACAATATTTTACTTTTGTTTTGGTTTGTTTTGCAGGTTCTTCATTTTTCCGGAATGATACTAGGTTGCGCGCTCTTCGATTCCTAGACCATATGCTTGTATGATTTTCTTATTTTGAATTTATTAGATATATTTTGAGGTATAGATATGAAAGAAATGGAAAGCAGACTTAACAAAGTTCTATGTACGACTATGGTTTCTGAACTGGTTTTGCCCCTTTTTGCCAGGAAAGAGATAATATGCAGAAAACTGAGTTTCTAAAGGCATTATCTGATATGTGGAAGGACTTTGATTCTCGTGTACTGCGGTACAAGGTTTGCAGAATATTACTTTTCTGAGCACTCATAAAATTTTATCTTTTGATATTGGTTCTTTTATCTTCGGCATTTATGTGTTGTAATGCTGTTTTAGATAGAATCAGTATCTAAAATGCACATGGATGAATTTCGGTTTTTTTACATATCTAAAGGCTAGTGATTTGCTGCATGATATCACATGCTTTCAAAATCTAATTTGTAAAATAATATGATAAATCTTACTAAATAAACAACTACATATAAGCGTGGGGAAAATCGAACAAGTGAATAACATTATGAAAAATTAACATAATTATTATATCCAACCTGAGTATATTGATCTGAACTGAAAACATCTATTTAAGATATCAAATTCTAGATGTACCATGATACATTGCAATTTCATCTCTGAAAAATGAAATGCTTTTCTTATCTACCAAAGGAGCTAACTGGATGTCAAATGCAATATATTTTCTGTCTCAATTTATAAGAACTTTGGAAGAGATTAATCAAAATGTATTTCTTCTCAATGAGTTGGGCATTGGTCAGGATGCAAACTGTCAAGTCCCAGCTCACCTACTTGTTAGCTGGCGGGTCTTATTGTTTGTTTGTCAGTCTAATTTGTTAACACTATATCTTTTGATTATCCAACAAAGTCTAATTTGATTTATATTATGTATTTTCTTTTAGGTGCTTCCACCTCTTTGTGCTGAGCTCCGAAACATGGTTATGCAACCAATGATTTTGCCAATGGTCCTTACAATTGCAGAGTCTCAGGTATTTTCTTGTTTGATTACATTGGTTGTTTGAGGTAGATAAATTGGTTTAACCCATTGTTGTTCATGGCAATTGGTCATAATGGTGTGAAATATGGGGCTTATTTGTATGATTGTTAATTGTAGGATAAAACTGATTTTGAGGTTTCGACTCTGCCTGCACTGGTTCCAGTCTTAAGTTCTGCCTCAGGTGATACACTTCTGCTGCTTGTGAAGCATGCCGAACTCATTATTAACAAGGTAATTATATGCATATTTTCCTGCTTGTGTGCAATATACCTCATGTTTTTCTTCTGCATGACTTGTGCCCATTATTGCCTCGTGAATTTTATGATATCAAAAACTTAAGTTGTCAACTTTACTGGCTGTAGAGATTACCTTGTACTATTTATTTTGTCAGTTCAGAGCTAAATGCTTGCTCTAGGAGATGTTCCTAATGGAATTGTAATTTAGAAAATTTAAAACCAACTCCTGACTGTGTTCGAGTGGATATATTTATTAATAGGAATCAGTTGGTTAAGCAGTTGTAACTTATAATCATTAAATGATACTTAGCAGTAATGACAGGAATTTTAGTTAGCAGAAAATGGTAGTTTAACTCTCGTGAATGTCTTGAAATACAAACTTTCCTCCTGCAGTTGAAGAGTTGTTTTATTCTATTCTCAGATTGTGGCTTAGACATGATAATGTCCTGCTAATGCTTTAGTTAAACAGTAGACAACATTCCAATGTTGTTGTTAGTCATCTCAAGGTTAGAGGTTCCTTTGGCCTCCAGTGCATTTATTTTTATGCCTAGCAAATTCTTTTCTCAAACCTCCGTGGTTGGTGGAACTGTTGGATGATTGGCTTCTTAGTTTCACCTATTTATTTTGAAAAACCAGCAGAGTCAAAGTCGTACTATTCTTTGAATGAAATAGTCCTAAAATGTCTTGAGATTGTCATCTTATTATTCAGGATTCCAATTATCCCTGAGCAATTTTAGAAGGATGAATTGGCGGATGTGTTGATCTAGTAGTTTTTATCTCCCATAATTTATTCATGCCAGCAACTGTAACCTGATTGCATTCTGCTCCTGCTTTCTTTTCCTTAATAGGCTAGCCAAGCGAACCTGATATCACATGTTCTTCCTTTTCTTGTTCGAGCTTATGATGATACTGATGCTCGTATGCAAGAAGAGGTTTTGCGGAGAACCGTACCCCTTGCAAGACAACTTGACATGCAGGTGAGTTATAACATTTTTTTCCACCAATATCTATTTGATATGAAAAGTACATCTATTTTGTGTCATTTCCTTTGTTATTATTAACAAGTTTGCTTAACGAACCTGATCAGCTGCCTGCTACATTATTTTTGGCAGTATTCCTCCTTGAAACTGTGTCAAAATTAATTTTGTTAGGCCCAGAAAGTTCATGAAAGACATGATATGTGTCTAGTAGTTTTATTTCCCTTTTGTGTATTTGTTCAGCTAAAGTATACCCAATGTGCTTGATTGGATGTTAGATGTCCCTTGTGGGTACTATTGTATACTTGCTTGTACTGCTCGTATAAAATGTCTGCCGAGCATGTAAATGATTATAAACCCCTATAGTCGTAAATAATGTTCATTTTTTTGCTGACATTATAATTGGAAGATAGTGTTCCATCTTTTTATTAATTTGGCCGAAACTTGCTTGTTGTTTAACTTTGATTCATAACTGCAACTAATATCTCACTGCTTCATTGTCTGCAGCTTGTGAAGCAAGCTATCTTGCCTCGTGTCCACAGCTTAGCTCTGAGAACAACAGTTGCTGCGGTATGTGCACGTTTATGTTTCAGTTTAACTGAGAAGGATAGATGGTCCTCTTATCCACTTGCCTCCCTCCTACCTTCTTTCCATTACTCTTTTTCTCTTTTATTCACAGAATGAATGCAACCAATCATTCCAAATTGGCTTTTTTCTCACACTGAACTACGCAGTGGAAAAATAATATGTTATTCTTTCAGCTTATCAGTTGCATTATCATTGTTTTCATTGTTGTCACCATTATGCCACGACCACTATCTAAATTGTTGCCAGCACTACAGATCGGCAATCAACTTGACATTCAACCCTCTAAATTGGTGCCAAATTTCTGGTTTCAAGCTGGGAGGAGGCTTGATGTAGATTGTAGAAGGCCAATGGCAGATAGGAAACCTTCCTTTTGGTTGCATGCAGAATATAAAATAATTGTGATTTTTTGTGGGCAATGATTATTATTTTTAGTTGCATGCAGAATATAAAATAGTTGCTATACTTTTGTGGGTAATTATTAAAATTTTTATTACTGATTCTGTTTTGGATTCACGCAAATATTTTGAGTTTTATGGCACTAGCGTATGGGTGCATATATATACATCATTTGTGCAAGTTTGTTACGTGTTACGGAAATCCATACACCCCGATAACTGATATTATTACATCATGCCACCGCCAGTTATCATATAAGGAAATTGCAATTGACTATGATTAGAATTTATGAGCTGCTTCAATATTGACATCTTATGATTTGATTTTCATCCAAAATAGGGGACTATGTGCTGCCCAGGTATCCTTTATTGCTCTACAGAGCTCATTTGAGTATCCTGTTACTAGTCTTTTTCCCCTTGTTTGCCTCTGTTTACTAGCTCTTCTTTAATCAATTTATGTTGTTTTTTAGAGCAGATAATCTTCTCTTTTTTTTTTGGGTAATAAAAGTACAGGAAGAGTTAAATTTAATATTTGATGTTCTGTACACTTCAACCAGGTGCGGGTGAATGCTTTGCGCTGTTTAGGTGATTTGGTTTCATCTCTTGACAAACAAGCTATATTGGACACCTTGCAAACATTGCAACGTTGTACTGCTGTGGACCGCTCTGCACCTACTCTTATGTGCACTTTGGGAGTTTCAAATGCAATTTATAAACAGGTTTTCCTTTCTTCCCTTTTCTAATTTCATAGATTCTTCACAAGATGTCTAGATTCCTTCCTGGGTTGTGTGATTTAATTAAATTTCTTTCTTTATGCTTTCCATTAGTTCATTAAGCTTTTATCTTTGTTATGAATTAGCCATTTTATTGGTAGGAGCTAATTTTCGTTGATTCTTGTTCAGTGTGGCATAGAATTTGCTGCAGAGCATGTCCTTCCACTCCTTTTCCCTCTGCTCACCACACCACAACTAAGTGTTCAGCAATTCGCAAAGTACATGCTCTTTGTGAGGGATATTTTGAGGTACTGAATGTCTTAAAATAACCTCCATTTCTTTTCACAAGTTAAAAGGTATCCTGGTCTGATTTTTAATTTTTTTAATTTTTTATTTTTTATTTCTATTTTTTTGGCAGGAAGATCGAAGAAAAAAGAGGTGTGAGTGTGACTGACGCTGGTCCTCCTGAGGTTAGAGCCTCATCTTCAGCGACCAATGGGCTTCATTCTGAACCAATTCAAAAGGTGAGCATGCCAATCTCTTCATCAAAGAGTAGTACGGGGTGGGATGAAGATTGGGGCGCAATAACTAAGGGAACGACCACTCCTTCTGTTCCTTTGGAACCAAATCTTGAAACTATGCTACCATTGCCGATTCCACAGCCTTCAGTGATTCCTACACCTTTATCATCTTCTACATCCACTGTGAGCCAACAATCTCCATCATGTAGCCCTGTCAATATCGAGTGGCCACCTCCCATTTCTTCTACTGCCTTGACTTCCCAATTGAATGCTGATGAGAAAAAGAACCAGAACTCTGGGGGGCTTTCTGATAATAGTTTTGACGATTTAGACCCTTTTGCCAATTGGCCTCCCAAGCCAAGCAATTTATCCGACAGTAGTCATGCAGTATCAGGAACAAACACAAATGGGTCAGACTTTGGAAGGTACAATAACCCAATTGGAGTATCAAATACTTACCGGGGGAGCTCAGTTTCAAATCAAGGCAATTCGACAAGTATTGCAAGTTCAAACTCAGCTTTGGGTATGGGTTATGCAAATGCAAGCAGTAAAGCTAAAAGTGCTGGGCATCTTGGATCAATATTTGCCTCGGCAAATAGTGGGAACCCTACACCTAGACTTGCCCCACCTCCGACTAGTGCTATCGGTAGAGGCATGGCTAATGTTGGGAGAGGAAGGGGTAGAAACCAAGCATCTAGGTCTAGTCATGCCAAAGGATCCACAGAGCAACCTCCCCTTTTGGATTTACTTTGAAACTATATACACACAGAAACTGCTTTAAAGAAATCATTCTGTAGGAAGAGCATCATGCACATATCTGTGTCTTGAGGATCATGGAGAGTGTTGATTTTCCTTCACAACAAGCCCCATGGCCAGTGTTGGTGAGGTTCATTTATACAAACTTTTTGTGGGAGTGCTGGTTGTCATATATTTGTGTATTCTTTTTTAATTGGCCCTAGCATCTTTTGCTGAGGTCATTGGAGACAATAAAATCAGTATGTGTAAATTAGTCTTTCGCTGTAAACTTGTGGGCTGTAGTCATCCAACTGTAAAATGGA